AATTATTATATTTACAAATACAAATAACCAAATAGCTAATAAGAAAACATAATTATAAGAAAACATAAATACTAAATTAAATTATATTTTAAATAATAAAATTATATTATTCAATTAATTTTTTTTTGTTTTAAGTTATTTTAAATCTAAGCTAAATTATTAATACAGACTCGCGCGTAGCGCGAGTATAAAATCTAGTTATATTTAAAACCCTAGTTAATCTATAAATAAATATTATATACAGAGAATATATAACAAAAAAAATATGAAAATTAAATTTATAAAATTAATTAATTAATATATATGGTAAATACATTATTTTATTATTTTATAAAAATATATTTTAAAATAAAAGAAAGAATGTTATTTTGTATATTAATAAATTCATAAATTAAAAAATATCAGAATCTCAATATTTTTGATTTATAAAGTGTTTACAGTACTTGAAAGGTAATGTTATGCATATACCTTGTTTTTAGAAAAATTAGGTGCACACTTTTTACTGATGTTGGGTCTTGAATCAAATTTCAAAACTTCAGTGGCTTGGAAATCAAGTTATCTCGTCACTGGTTGGGCAATAGACCAAAGAAAAAATTGCTAACAAAAACATTTAAAAAAAATATTATTGCGGTAAAAATATATTAATTAGAAAAATAATGTGAACTGTATAAAATTGGAATGATAAAACATTCAATAAAGAACGAGTTGAAATGCCATTACTAATTTACTATTACAGCCAGAATGTAGGCTTATATACGACTCAAAAGCTTTATGAGATACTGCATTGCATGGTATACGTTTTCGAATCTAAACACACCTTTACGGCTATTTGTACACTCTTATTAAATTAGGGCGGTGGCAAATTATTTGAATTCCGACCTTCCGCATAAATTAAAAGCAGACGATATATTTATGACGGTGGGATGTTGCCAAGGGATAGAGACCATGATTCAGGTTCTCTCTAGTCCAAAATCGAATATCTTGCTCTCCTCCCTCGTCTATCCCCTCTACCATAGTTACGCAATACATGACCAACTCGAGATTCGCAAGTATGAACTACTCCCTGACCAAGACTGGGAGATTGATCTCCAAGGCGTTGAAGCCATTGCAGATGAGAATACCATCGCTATAGTGATATGTAACCCTCACAATCCATGTGGAAATGTTTACACATATCATCATCTAAAGAAGGTGAAAATATGTAACTCTTAAGTTAATTTCTTTTTAACTTCACTCTTGTTTTGTTACTATTTGTTGATATATGTATAGAGGGTCGGCTTACTATGGGAGCCAACACAGGGATCTCCTCGGGTCTAACTCTAAGTCCAATAATTTTAATAATACCACATATATTATATCAGATTTATATTTAAATCACATTTACTTGATTACATATCTTTGCTCAAAACATTTACTGATAATTATTTTTAAGAATTTCAGATTTTTTTTATAATACTTATGAGCTTTAAAATTGCAAAGGAACCCCTAATAATATTGAGCTGTGCTGAGTATAGGTGGCTGAGATGGCGAGGAAGCTAGGGATAATGGTTATTTCTGATGAAGTTTTTAAGGAAACTATATATGGGAAGAATCCATTTGTCCCGATGGGGACATTCTCATCGATTGTTCCTGTGGTTACACTCGGTTCCATTTCCAAGGGATGGCTTGTCCCTGGCTGGCGAATAGGTTGGATAGCTATGAATGACCCAAATAACGTTTTCAAAACCACTGGGGTAGGGTTTTCAATTCTTGGATCATCCTTTGATCCTCTTTTGATCATTAGTTAATATATATATATCTTCCTTTTGGACCTTATAAAATAAAAGTTGTAAATATGCGTTAATCTGAACATGTAACCATATCTTTTTGTCAATAATTAAGGTCGTTGAATCCATCAAGGACCTGCTTAACATAAGTCCAGATCCATCGACAATTCTACAGGTTTGTACCTTGAAAGTTGTAATAGAATACACAAAACACATGCAATGAGTTAAGAGCCACTTAAAGGTAAATGTAAGAGAAATAATAATGTGTTGCTCTGTGTAATTGATAGTTTGCACTTCCAAATATCTTGGAGAAGACAAAGAAAGACTACTTTGAGAAGAAAAACTTGACATTGAGTCAAAATGTGGACATGACGTTCGACGCCCTCAAGGAGATTCCTTGCCTCGTTTGCCCCAAGAAACCTGAGTCGTGTACTTCCTTAGTGGTATCAATTTCTTTTTATACTCAATTTTTATTTATATTTTTTTTTGTTTTCTGTAAAATTCTAAAATATATTTTTATAAGTATATGCTATAAATATATGCTAAATATGTTATATGCAAACTCGCTAATACAATTTTTCCTTTTTATTTAATCTTGCAAGTTTTTTGGCACAATTTTTATAACCTTATCTTATTTTTTGTACCAAAACATCAATATTATTATGAAGGGGTGCATATACATCACATTAAATATCAAAGATATGCCACTAATACCAATCAAAATTGTATATATCGCAGGCGAAGCTGGACCTATCACTCTTAGAGGACATCAGAGACGATGTTGATTTCTGCATGAAGCTTGCCCGAGAGGAGAATCTCGTCCTTTTACCTGGTAAGCATCATAATCTATATTATAAGATTTTTAAATAATTATAATGTGTTTTACAAAATAAAAATAAAAAGAAATAATAATTATGTGTTATTAATAAAATATTTGGAGATATGGGCTGATCTGGAATATTCATGCAGGAGAGGTATTTGGCATGAATAATTGGGTGAGGATCTCGATTGGAGTCGAGAGATCAATGATAGAAGACGCTTTCGTGAGGCTCAAAGGCTTCTTCACTCGCCATGTCAAATCACAAACTACTTAAGAATTCACCTTCTTTATTGTAACCTGAGACCCTATATATATATCTTTCTGTTATTATTGTATGTTCTTTGTTATTTTTATATCGATTATGTTGGGAACTTTGGATTATTGTGTCTGCTTGCGTATGCCTATGTAGCCATGGTTGTCCATCTAAGTGTGTTTTATTCATCTTGGATTGAATATACCACTGGAGTTAATAATTCAAAATGTGATAAATAAATATCAAATCATAGCATGACACGTGGCGAGCTCCTGATACCGTAAAGCAGGGGATCAGTACTCTCGTCCGTCTTGGGAGAGAGCAAAGAATCATCGTCGTCTCTCTTTTAAAAACCCTAAAAGCATATTGCTTCAAGCATTAGGGCGAATTCGAAATTTACCTTAGAGAGAGCGAAGACAAGTACTGGAACTGATATGGGATCGGCGACGGCTCGTAACGATCAAAGTTGTTGACACTATTCTCTTTACATGATACATAAATGGTTTCTTTCATAGAAATCAGTTTTTCAGGGCCGGGCTGAATGGTATCGTCTTATTGATAAGTCTGATCTTTGGTTCTATAGTTATACCTGACAATATCTATTTGAGAATGTTTCTGCTAATTTTCTTTGATGAATGTGATGTATCATATGCCGATTTTTGGACATATATTCCACTTACTCTGCATCAATAAAAAAACGAGATGACGTCAGTCTTATGATTTACAAATTCAACATTTCACCAATGATTAGAGATTCCAAAAGAAAAGAAATAATATAACAAACCTATTCAATTTCAACCTTTTTATTATCCAAACATACCATAATCAAAAGTTCAAAACCAAAACAAACTGAAAGATAAATTTGCCAATGGACTGATAAACCAGACTATCATTAAATATCAAACAAACTGAACCAAAGTCAGACATGGGAAGCGACCGCGAAATGGAACTAGTAAGAGAGAGCCAAAACGTTTGGCTTGAGTGCTTCGACGATTGTGGTCTGAACAAGCTGCAGATTCCTGTTAGACCAGGAACAACTTGCATTGATCAGAATCACGTTCACTTTGATGAATAAGGATGCCATGGTTAGAAGAAACAACGTTAATTGGAGTATTTACGAGCTAACCAGATTATGGAATGGTTAGACCAAAGTTAAACGGTGATGCATGCCAATATCAATATATATATTTTTTTTTTTGATAAAGGGCTTCAATATCAATATTCTTTCTAGCTGCATGCAAACGTATACGAATAAGTTTTAACGAAAAAAAACTGGTAATCTCTTAAATGTTCTTACTCATTTGTGAGTTTTAAGAAGCGGAAGAATATATCTCGAAATTAACTAACTGTGTTTTCGTAAACTTCACGTTCGTAAGACATAAATTTTGGTTTTCCACAATGGTGTCAACTAAGTTTATGCAAACACTCGACTGATCTTAGAAGTAAGAATATTTTAATTAGTACTATAAAATTTCAACGGTTCAATATATCCAGAGTACGCGTGACAATATAATGGATCCATTACTTTTCTCTTGTCAGTGTCGTGACATTTTAAAAGGGTACTTTTACTCTTTTGGCACATGGTCGCATTCAGAAAATTATAGTGCGCCTCAATATTCATTCAATGCCACAGAATTTCTCATCCAATTAATTAAATCTTATATATTGACAAAATAAACTCACGAAATTAATAATATTATTAACAATAACAAAGTTCACAAAACAAATAGTGCAATTTTCAAGTTCTAGTAACATACTCCATCCGTTTCATTTTAATTGTCATTCTACGTTTTTGCACATAGATTAAGGAAACATTTAATTTTACATATTTTCAAGAAAAAAACACAATTATCTATACACCTAACCATTTTTTAACCAATAGAAAAATAGAATATCATATAAAACTAATAAATTTTATCTCGAAACTCTAAAACGACACTTATTTTGAAACGAAATTTTTTCTCTAGACGACAATTAATTCGAAACGGAGGGAGTATACACTAGAGCACTATCTGTTGTTAATTTCCAACGCCTTAAATCAAAATAGACTCACGAATTGATATATTGCTTTCATGTCCAGCCTGAAAGAACTCTGAAAAATAAAGATGAATACATTTTGAAAACGTGGGTCCTTTTTTCGACAAACTCTGTTTTTCTCTTCTTTTTTTGTTTAGAATTTTGTTTTTGGACCATCCACCTTCTTTAAACTGGACATGATTGCTTTTTTCACTTCCTTTTGTATGCTTCAAAATTTCGAAGTGATATTTTACACTGATTGTTGTTTGTAATCCTCATCGACAATCCTCTAAAATCTTTTGACTGAAGTATATTAAGAGCATCAGCAGTGGTTTAATATCTCAACTAGTTTCTTTAATATAAAACAATAATATAGTTTAGCATTTTCATTAAAATTTAATGAAGAAAAAACTGACATAATTATATGGTAACACCTAGCAATAATATCTCTCACTCTTCCGGAAGTCTCTTGAGGAAGAGACGTGTCCTTCCATCTCTCTTACTTTTGTCCCTCTCTCTCCTCTTTTGTCTGAATAATTTGTTACATTAATACTCAAAGACCCATGCTCATACTGCCACTAATGATGGTCTAATATTATCCTTTGATATAGAGATCTAGATTTCTAAAGAACATTACAGATTTGGACCTATAAGTTCATAACTCACGTGTCATGCTAATAGAAAGAAGTTTGGGAATTAAAAACAAAACATAAACCAACTGTAATAACATTTTACTTGTTTTAAAGATGTAAAATAACAATAAAGAAATAAAGAAAAAGAGAGAGAGATAAAAAGAAGCTTTAGACAAAGGTGCTGTTGAGAATCTTGAGATATTATGGTATCTTGTACACAATCCCACGTTTGGCTGAGAATAATCAAGAACTGAGGACTATCTTGTACACAATCCCACGTTTATTACTTGAATAACCAGAGACATTATTGGGTTTGTTTTAAGCGGAAATCTGAGAGTTTTCTGTCAAATGTCAAAGTCGAGGCTTCCACATGAAGAAAGAGTAGAAGATAGAAAAAATTCACAGCCTCTCTAAACCCAACGGCTAAAGCCGATCTGAAAATATCTCTTGTGGATCTGTACAAAGAGTGTATAGCCGAGTAGACATTGTCAATAGAGGTGAGGAACCTCTAGAACACAGCTGAGAAGGCGACTCCGTCATGCATCTGTTGAAGATAAGCGATGTCATACCAAAACAAACTTAAAAGAATAGAAATGGTAATAGAACCTATCAACATAAGAATAAAAAGCAGGAAGCAAAGAGAGGCGCAACACGGAGGAAAATAGAGAAGAGAAAAATATATTTTTAGGGCAAACACCAAAAAGATATCATTATTATTCATTAGTTAGTTTAGTTATTTCTTTAATAAATTATATTTTTAAATTTTAATACTATGTGTTATTTTATGAGAGAAAAATATTTTGGGTATAGCAGCAAATGCACTTTTGATTTATTACAATTTATAACATTATTTTCTAACCAAATTCTATAATAACCGTTCTTAATTGAGTTATAGGTTTTTAGTTAGTCATCATGCCAAGTTCTCTAAAAATACGATATCTACCACCTTATTTGTTTCCCCTCAAAATACATAGGGTAAATACCCAAATAATAATAAATGTTTTTTCTATATATATGAACCACTGAGCTTCAGCATCATAACTTCATAAAATTCCTCATCTCATTTTGAAACTTTTGTCCAAAAAGGGAACACGATGAGCCAACACACGAACTTGTTCGTTCCTTCATTTCAAACGGATCAAGATGAAGAAGTTCAAAGCAAGACCGAGACGCAGACGCTAAACGGTGGTGGTAGTAGTGTCTGGAGGTTCAAAGGAAACAACGCGGCCAAAGAAGCAGCAAGTGTTTCCATAAAAAGTGTCCTTTCCAGGTTATTCGACAGCTGCAGCAAAGACCTTAAAAAGACCATTTTGCCCCTGGGTCACGGTGATCCCTCTGTCTACCCTAGCTTCAAGACTTCCGTTGATGCAGAGGAAGCCGTTGCTGAGTCCCTTCGATCTGGCGTCGCCAACTCCTACGCCCCTGGGATTGGTATTTTACCGGCCAGGAGGTACTTAAAGAAGTCAATAATTGTTATGCATGCTTCATTTAGAAAACTTTAGTGACTTAGAAATCAAGAAAACATGCTAATAGAAACATTTTAAAACTATTTTAATGCAGTATAAAAATCTATCAATTAGAAAAATAATATTAAGTGTAAAATATCAATAAAGAACGACTTAAAATTATGCAGAAGCATATACGATTCAAAAGCTTTATGACTTTATGAGATATATAACACTATGCATGCTATACATTTTCGAAACTATACATAACCTTTTCAGCTAAATATTTTTATACTCCTATTAATTTAGGGCGGTGGCAAATTATTTGAACCGGGACCTTCCGCATAAGTTAAAACCGGACGATATATTTATGACGGTCGGGTGCTGCCAAGGGATAGAGACCATAATTCATGTTCTGTCCTGTCCCAAGTCGAATATCTTGCTCCCCAGTTTTGTCTATCCTCTCTACTATAGTCACGCTATATATGGCCAAGTCGAGATTCGCAAGTATGAACTCCTCCCTGACCAGGACTGGGAGATCGATCTCCAAGGCATTGAGGCAATAGCAGATGATAATACAATCGCTATGGTGATAGCTAACCCTCACAACCCATGTGGAAATGTGTACACACATCATCATCTAAAGAAGGTGATAATGTGAAACTTTTTGTTAATATTCTTTTAAATTAAGTTAAAAAAAAAAGTTATTATTCTTTTAACTTCACTTTTTTGTCGACTGTTCATTTGGTTTAACCAAATTTTGACCGGCTTCATTCTTGTTTGTGTTACATTTTAATTGATATGAATGGAGGGTCGTCTTACTGTATGAGAGCCAAAATCCAACTTTAAGTCCAATAGTTTTAAAACCCTTATTTTTCACCACATATATATTATATCAGATTCAGATTTAAACCACATCCTATTACCAGTTGGTAGAGTGTATATCTTTTCTAAAAAAAAATTAACTGATAATTAATTTTGAAAATTTCAGATTTTGATTTTTTTATAATATTTTGAAAAAATTGATTATAGGTGCTTTGGAAAAAAGTTGTCGAAGAACCCCTAAAAAAACTGAGTTTTCCTGAGTGTAGGTGGCTGAGATGGCGAAGAAGCTAGGGATAATGGTTATTTCTGATGAAGTTTATAGGCACACAATATATGGAGAGAATCCATTTGTCCCCATGGGGATATTCACATCGATTGTTCCCGTGGTTACACTCGGGTCCATTTCCAAAGGGTGGCTCGTCCCTGGCTGGCGAATAGGTTGGATGGCCATGAATGACCCAAATAATGTTTTCAAAACCACAGGGGTAGCGTTTTCAACTCATGGATCATCCTTTGATCCTTAATTAATATATATATTCGTTGTCGATATATGTCAGTTTATACATGCAACCATATCTTTTTTGTCAATAAGGTCGTTGAATCCATCAAGGACCGGCTTAACATAAGTCCAGATCCATCGACAATTCTACAGGTTTGCACCCTCAAATTTGTATTCGTATATACACAATACATATATGCAAGGCAAATTGTAAAAGAACTAATTTGTTGCTCTGTATAATTGATAGTTTGCACTTCCAAATATCTTGGAGAAGACAAAGAAAGATTTCTTTGAGGAGAAAAACTTGACATTTAGGCAAAATGTAGACATGATGTTCGATGCTCTCAAGGAGATTCCTTGTCTCGTTTGCCCAAAGAAATCTGAGTCGTGTACTTACTTAGTGGTACCAAATTATTTTTTTTTACTTACATATTTTTTTATTTATATATTTTGTTTTCTCTAAAATTTTTGAATAATCTTTATAAGTATAAACTATATTATGCAAATTCGCTAATACTATTAATTTCCCTAACCATTTAATCTTTTAAGGTTTTTGGCACACTTTTATGTTTTAATATTACATTTTGTAACCGAAATATCAGTATTATTATGAATGGTACATATACAAGAAGTGTCAGTAGTGAGTAGTGACAATCTAATTTGTATATATATCGCAGATGAAGCTGGACCTATCACTCTTGGGGGACATCACAGACGATGTTGATTTCTGCATGAAGCTGGCCCGAGAGGAGAATCTCGTCCTTTTACCTGGTAAGCATCAGAATTCTCATCATCTAAGATTTTGAAGTAGTTAAAATGTTTTATAATATAGAAAATCACGAGAGAGATGGGCTGATCTGGAATATTCATGCAGGAGAGGTATTAGGCAAGAAGAATTGGGTGAGAATCTCGATTGGAGTGGAGTTATCAATGCTAGAAGACGCTTTTGTGAGGCTCAAAAGCTTCTTCGCTCGCCATGTCAAATCACCAACCACTTAATAAGAACTCAGCTTCATTGTCGGAAACCTAAGACCCTATCTTTCTACTGTTTTTGTATTTCTCTATTCACTATTTTCTCGATTATGTTCAAAACTTTGTATAATTGTGTGTGTGCGTATGTGTAAGCAGCTATGCTTGTCTAGTTTGTCCGTTAGAAGGTTGTTACTTGTTTTAATTAGTCAAGTCTTGTCAAAACATGATGGCGACGAGTTGTGAATAAATAATATTTGATGATAAAACCTTTTACTCCCTCTTTTTTTTGAGTTTTACGCATATTAAAATAAAGTAAATATTTATAATAATTATGGTATATTATATTAATAATTAATCTACAGTTTCACATAAATATCAATCAAGAAGATTTGATAAAATTATTTTTATTAGTATTTTCTAAAATATACAATTCACTTATACTCCTTATGTTTCACATTGTAAGTAAATTTGGGTTAAAATCACTAATAATAAAAAAGTTGTTACATTTTTAAAAATAGTATTTAATTAATAAATTAACCAATTATGAAAAAACTGACATTATTTGATTGGTTATTCTATATCCAATAAATGTAAAAATTATCTAGATATGTGAAAATTACCTACATTTTGAAGAAATTATTTTTTTATATAAAACTACTTATAATATAGAACAGAGGGAGTATCAATTAATACAGATATTTTTTTAACGAAATTTTATTTTGTACACAGGAAAAAAATAATTGTTTTTACTCTAATTTATTCATTACCATTTATATTTATAAATTAGGCGATAAATAAATACTCTCTCCAATTTTTATTAGATATCATTTTAAAGATTATGTACAAAAATTAAAACATATAGATTTAAATTTATACATTTATAAAAATATTATTAATTATTCATTTAATAGATACACTTCTATCAATAATAAAATAGACTATAGAATACAAATGATCATCATAGAACATAAAAAGGTAGTAACTCTTATATTCATAAACTTAAAAACAAAATTGTTTCCTATGAAACAAACTTATGAAGAGAGTATCAAACCATATTACGACACGTGACGATCTCACGATACACCGTAAAGCAGGTGATAACTCCTCTCTTCCCTCTTGGGAGAGAGAGCAAAGGAGAGAGAGGCATCATCGAATCGATTCATCGTCTCTCTCTTTACAAAACCCTAAAAAACCACATCGATTTCCACCACTAGGGCGAACGCAAAATCTCACCTTTTCGAGATGGCGAGTACAGGAACCGAAGCTGCCACGTCATCAACCACCGCGAAGAGAAAACCTGTGTTTGTGAAAGTCGAGCAGCTGAAGCCTGGAACGACCGGTCACACATTGACCGTTAAGGTCGTTGACTCCAATCCGGTGGCTCCGGTGGCCCGGAAGCCGCGTCAGGGGAGTTCTATGGGTCGTCCTTCTCAGCCGAATCGAATCGCTGAGTGTCTAATCGGAGACGAAACCGGGTGTATCCTCTTCACTGCTCGTAACGATCAAGGTTGTTACTTGTCTTTTTTATTACATGATGTGTAGAAATGGTATTGTTTTTATTGATAAAGTTTGGTTCTTTTTGGTTTTTTAATGCGTATCTGTTAATGTCTGTTTGAGAAAGTAATGTGTAAGAGAAACTTAGTGATGTGTCTTATGTTGAATTTTTTGGATATATGTTGCAAAAAGCTGTCATCTTTGTCTGAAAAAATCTGCACAGAGGCTAGTGTTTTTGTCTCATTAATTGATGTATTTTTCTTATATGATTTGTAGTGAATTGCTTTATTGATAAAGTTTGATCCTTTTGGTTTTCTATTGTGTATCTATCAATGTCTATTTGAGGAAGTAAATGTGTAAGAGAAATGTGTCTTATGCCAGATTTTTGAACATTTTATTGCAAAAAAGCTGTCATCTTGTCTGAAAAATCTGTACAAGACTAGTGTTTTTGTTTCATCAAGTGATGGCTTTGTGTAATTCAGTGACTATTAGTTGGAGGGGAGTTTAGAGGATGTACTTTATCTTGTTAATGTCTATTTGAGAAAGTGATTTGTAAGAGAAACTGGGTAATGTCTGATGTTGATTTTTGGACATATATTGCAAAAAAGTTGTTATCTTGTCTGAATATCGAAAAGGAATTACTGTGAAAACCTGCAAAAGACTTGGTGTTTTTGTCTCGTTAAGTTATGTCTTTGTGCAAATTAGTGTTCTAAGTTTGTGTAAAAACATTCCCCAAATTTGATGGAGTTGTAGAATATACTTCATCTTGCAATTAGTAATTGTGAAACTTGTGGCTTACTGATTAGATTGATTCATGTTTTTTGTTGTGTGTGTGTGTAGTTGATGTTATGAAGCCAGGGGAGACGGTGATAATCCGCAATTCGAGGATAGACATGTTCAAGGGTACAATGAGGCTTGGGGTTGATAAATGGGGACGCATTGAAGCTACAGAACCAGCATCTTTCACTGTCAAAGAGGATAACAATCTGTCTCTTGTCGAATACGAACTGATTAACGTTACTGATCAGTGATGTTGGTAGTGTGTTTATGGGTTAGTGTTTGGTTCTGATTCTTCTACTGGGAAAGGTTCTTTGATTTAGATGATGAGACTTTGTATGACTGGTTCAGAGATGCTTTTGCTTTGTAGGAATGGTTTCTCTATTTACCCTAAAACATAAATGTCAGAATCTCGTTTTGGAGAATTATTGAGTCCATGGCAATGTGATGGTTCTCTTTAATGTGTTGATGTTATGTTCAAGACCATTGAGAGCTTTTTAATGCTCACTAATCGTTGAAGTAAACATATCACATTCTGAATAGCGAGACCCTAAAATAACACTCCACGAACATGATGATTAGTGAAGGTATCTATTGGCATTTCGGAATAGACACTGTACGAGTATTTAGTTATTTCGATTTCATTGGTTCGGATAACAAAATTAGAAACCAGCTAATATTCAAAAAAAAAAAATGTCTAGTTGCGTTTTGGGTTTTTCAGTTAATTAGGATTAAAGTTAGGAAATTGAATTCTTCAGAGTAAATATCAGATTATTCGGATTTTCGAATTAAAATTTGGATAACTTTAAATATTTTAGATACTTTAAATATCCAGATTATACAGTCTAGTTTATTAATACTCCTTCCGTTTACCTATACACCTAACCACTTCTCAACCAATAGAAAAATAGAATATTATATAAAACTAATAAATTTTGACAACTCTTAAACAACACTTGAGAAAAAAAAAAAAGTCTAGAATGACATATATTTTGAAATAGAGGAAGTAAGTAATTCTTAAAAATATTTAATTATTTTAAAAACTAATATTTACTAAATTATAGAAATTTATATACTCATTGGCATCTCGGATTGGTTTCAGTTTTTTGGTTCTAGAGATGTAACATCCACTCTATAATTAATAGAATCCAAACCCAAACAAAACCTGATTTTCGGTTTGATGACAAATGTTGGGAACCTTAAATGGCAATAACTTATAGCATAGCGAGTCTTATAGTACAGCAAAACTGTTTCCACGTTCCTATCACTGCCCTCACGATACCAACACAAACCCTCGTGTTCCAAGAAACGTATCTTATAAATAAAGGAAACAAGAACAAAACGAGATACAAAAACTAGATTTTCACTCCACTTGTTTGATGATTCTTCTTCTGCGATGAGGTTGAATGACAACTGTTCCTGGAGCACTGTGACTTTTAGTACGTTCCATTTTCCTCCTCTTTGAATCGTTCATGACTCTGCTTTCCCCTATTGCTTTGTATATAGGTTTCGGCAAGTGCCTGTGTCTGTAATTTCACATCAACCAATACGTTAATGTTCAAAGTCCTTTTGACAATCTCCAAAGAGTTGGAAACATGAGAAACAACTCAGAAGTAATTTTTATCTGATCATTTACCTGACAATACGCTTGATCTCAGGAAGATGCTTGTACCGATTCTTCACCGCTTCATTGTACTCATGCTTCTTCTCCTCCCTTGGAAGAATCTGCAACACCAAAATCAACATATGAGATTTCACCATTACAAGTTGAAACCTAATGCTGTTTAACAAGAAAAGACACAGATTCTTACAACTCCTAATTGCTCTGATGCTTTGGCCTTCCAAAGCCTGAGATTAGTGTCATCACTTCCCGATATAACATAGGTAGCATCACAACTATACTTGACACAGAATACTCTACAAGAGAAAAAAAAACGCATTAATATATAAACGTTGCACATAAATACAATTAAGTTAACAAAGTGGTACCTCTGCATCCTCTTTGTATGGTAGATTTCTCTGCTGTGTCCTCCATTGTATGGGAAGATTCTCACTGATCGATCATAAGAACCGGTAACGAATTCACGACCAGTTGGTGAAAAATCAATATCCATCCTGAATAAAAAAAATGATTTAAATCATAATGCATTAGGATAATCTCATGTTGAAGTTTACTATGCTTACACTGCGGAAACATGATCTTTATGCACACACTTGGCTTCGTCATCCTTTCTACCATCAAAGCTATAGCAATTACCATCTTCATTTGCCTATATTCAGTTTCATCATAGGATTAAAATCAAACACATAACCGAAAAGCCTAATGCTTGATCACTCTATGATTATCACTTACAGCTGTGAAGTTCATAGGCTCCATAGGGTTCCATGCGATTGAATTTGTTTTGGTCTGCCAAAGGAACAAGCAATTTTTAAAGTTGGAAGAAAAACAAATAGTTTTACATATGAAGAGAATGAGTGAGCGAGTTCTATACCATCATGAGAATACTCCTTGCAGGAGCAGACATGCGGAGATCATAAATGATTATGCTCCTATCGCTGGAAGAAGACAAACAAACCCTCTTACAGTGTTAAAGAAAGCTATGGATCGTTTACATAACACATACAAGTATATAAATACCAGAAATAGCTATTTTAGTTTTGGGGTTTAATTATAAACTAGATTACAAAACAAAAAAAAAATAGATAGAATTTATGGATTTAACTAACAATCAATATTTAATTTAACAGGTTTAGAATAATTAAGTGGATTATAAGAAAATCGGATAAATACCTAGCAGATGCAGCCAATATATCAGGCTCTCCAGGATTAAACCGGACAGATATTATAGTGTCATTTTTCCACTGAAAACTCTGGACTGGCTGAGACCTAATTACAAAAAAATAAAATAAAGATATAAGCGTTGGTTTAAGATTTAAGAAAGAAAAAAACATTTAGAAAGAGTCTGATTTACCTATTATGATTCCATATATCTAGTTGAGCACTGCCCGTAGCAAAAAGTTCTCCTTCAAACTGATGATCAACCGCCCTAGAAATGACACAAAGCTAATTAGCTCAAGTCTTGTAGACAGAGAGAGAACAATGAAAGATGGTAAGAAGCTTACAATAACGCATTCTTCCAGACATAGACTGCAGAAGGCTGAAAAAACAAATAAAAGCTTGTTATTAAGATCATAAAACGATATAAGAGATAACAAAAGGTTATATAAGAATCTGAACAATGAACCACCTCAACAGTTTTTTCAGATGAAAAGTCAGAGTCTTCAAGAGAAGGTTGAGGAACGTTCCACAAACGAACACTGCACAAATCCATTCATCTTTAGTCTCGGTCAAGGACTGAAAACACTTAAAAACAATAAATTCATATATAACTTACGTGCTATCAGTTCCGCATGAAACCAAAACATTGCCATCGGTTGATGCTGTAAGACCACGCACAGCACCTTGATGACCGGGAAATTGGCAAACGGTACGCCTGTTTGTTCCATGGCACAGAACATATAATAATTAGTACAAAGAGATACAAAACGAAACTTCAAATTAGTTCAGGAGAGTAGAGAAGATTACAACCTAGTAGCGATATCCCAAAGACGAATATCTGCAGAGAACAAAACACAAAAGAATAAGTTTCAGTTAAAAGAGTATAGCTCACATAGGTTTCTACACTTGTAACAAACTTAGAAGCCAAACTTTGCGCAAAATCCATATTATAAACATCAATTGCATTAGCAAATCATCATGCACTTGGTTCATTTTCATTATATCAAATGTTCAACAAAATGCTAGACGGTAACTAGGCACTTTGCAAAGAACTAGTAACTAGACCGGGCTGTAGATAAATAAAACAAAGAAATCAACAAATTTATGGATTTATAACTAACATTATTACTTATTTTAATACAATTAAACTAATTTAGATCGAATTAAACTGATTTAAACCTAGTTAGTCGGATTTTAAGTACTCTAGACCATATCAATATCAAAGTATGCATTGAAGTTAAAAACTTTGAGAAGAGAAAACAAACCTCCATCCATAGAAGCAGAGAAGATTCCCTTCAAGTAATTAGGGTTCTTAGCCATACAAGAAATCCCATCTCGATGCCCATCCATTGCTCCAACAAAAGGCCTTGCAAATATCTAAAAAAAACCAAAACCCACATCCAAAGTTAATAACTTTTCAATCAATTACTAATCAGAACGACGCAAAAATCAAAACCCACATCCAAAGTTGTTAACTTTTCAATCAAATACTAATCATAACGACGCAAAAATAAAAACCCAAATCCAAAGTTTATAACTTTTCAATCAAATACTAATCATAACGACGCAATAATCAAAACCCAAATCCAAAGTTTATAACTTTTCAATCAAATACTAATCATAACGACGCAAAAATCAAAACCCACATCCAAAGTTGTTAACTTTTCAATCAATACTAATCAGAACGACGCAAAAATCAAAACCCACATCCAAAGTTTATAACTTTCAATCAATACTAATCAAAACACAAAAACAGAACCAAAAATTGAAGCTTGAATATTGCAATTACCTTCTCAAGTTTGGCAGCTGTAAGTGCCCTCTGATACTCAACAGCCTTCTCCATGGGTCTAAGACTCGGGTCGAAGTTGTGAAAGACCCTCTGAAACAAAACAGAAGTTTTCAAAGCTATTGATTAGATTTATGGAGAGGGAGAGAGTGTAAACTAAGCCCTAGTTTTTGTAAATTTACCTGAAGGTCTTGACTTCTTTCTCGAGTGAATTCATCAACTGATCTTGATATTGTCTTGATCCTCATTGTTTTTACGGTTACGAGAGCTCACGGCGGAGAGTAACGGTGGAAGAGAGAGATAGAGAGAGGGTGAGGCGCGGAAGAGATGTAATTTCAGAGAGAAAAACCCTAGAGATTTGTGAAGGTTTTTGAGGTAGAGGGATGATGAAGCTTGTATTGTGATGTTTAGTTGGGCTTATAAATGATAATTTTGGCCCAAGTGAGGTTTGCTAATTGGGCTGCATACAGTTTTGTTGGATAATAATAATATTTGTTGTTTTTTTTCTTTTTAAACTTTGAACTTTCAAATTAAAGCCAATCTTTAATTCATGTTTGAACCAAAAAAATATTCAATTTTTAATATTGACTGTTTTAATTTTTATATTTTGTTGACTAACTCATTTAAGAAATCAAAATAGTCAACTGTTAAAATCGATTATAAAAATAGAAGACTGTTTACTTTCTAAATGATGTTAATTTTAAAAAATAGTTAAACAATATAGTTTTGTTTCTTTAAATAATTAAAATACCTTTTTCGCCAAATCAGACTATCAGAGTTTCAAATGGACTTTATCCTCTTCACTCGAAAATGAGAAAGGTGAAATCAATTTGGGGTTTTGGCTAGCGAAAAAAATGTTTTACGTGTTTTTTAAAACAAAATGACATTGTTTAATTAATATTTAATCAGTTTTTGAAACAACTTCGTTTAAAGAGTTAACATATGTCTATATTCTTAATCAAACTTAACAGCTGACTATTTAGATTTTTTAAATGGCCGAATCAACAAAATATGAGCGTTAGAACGGTCAATATTTGAAAATTGAAAAAAAATTTGACTCAAACATAAGTTGGAAATTTTATTGGTTTTAATTTGAAAGTTCAAGCTTTTAAAAACACTTTTCTCTTTTTATTTATAATGCACAAAATATCTCACTATGTGACTTTCTTTGTTTTAAAATAGTTGATATCTTAAAAGTCAATAAATGATATATTCAACTTTAATCTGTTTTGATTTTCAGGCAAGAAGTCTAAATTGTTTATGGGTTATACAAGAATAATCATAAAAATACACATGAGCTTTGACAAAATCTTTGCGTCGTCGGACTTTTACTAGTTTGCCTAGTTTGTTAGCACTAGTACTAGTACTAGCACTAGCATATCTCTTACGTTAGGACAAGTCAAGTTCTCATGTTTTGAATATCAAGTGTTATTGAAAATCAACAGTCTTAGATGCACACATTAAAAAAGAAGGAAAAAGTTGAGTTAATTAATACTCCACTCTCGTAATAAATATGCGTATGTGGCTATAAGCTAACTTTTTTCTATTGAACAACAGATTAACCACATGACATTTCCAAGTACTTTCCATAAACGTATTATCTATTCAGTGTTTTGCTCTCCAAGCTAAACTGGTAAGAGAGTTATTTAAGTGATTGGTCTTCTTGCGGTACTTTAGTTAGTCAAGTCGTGGCTTACGCGTTAAGTTTCAAAACTGAAGCTTTGACTTTTCGGAACAAAAGTAAACCTTTGTTTTATAGTTGTGTAAACTCATCGCCTCATCAGCACCGAAAATATTTGATTGGTATGTAATTTGTTTAGTATATAAATGAATTTGTCTTAGAAAACTTAAGAACATTGATTTGAAAAAATGTTTTAGTTGTCTCATTAAACTGAATAAATAAGCATATAAATAAGATAATAATAATATCTTCAGAAATTTGCATGTTAGATGTTAGCTTTGATTAGTTTAATTATAATAGCCGCGTAAAATATATACTTTTAGCACTCTTTATTCAAAAGTTCTCATATAATATTTAAAATCCAAAAGGCATAATGGTACAATGTGTATACATCGAGTGTTGTAGAGCGACTCGTTCAAGTCACAATACTTGGTCAACACGCCAATCGTGAGATGGTGCCGGTGAAATCCGACCTAAGTGATGAACTCATTGAGTCATATGACCACTTCCTCGTAACTCTTAATATATATACTCCCTCTCCTCTATATCTGATTTCCAACATAACCATAACTCCTAATTTTCTTTCTTAACCAAACAAACAAACAATTAAAAACCCTTTCCCCCAGATAAATCTTTTAGTTTATTACTTGAAAGCAGAGAATAAAATGAAGAGAGCTAGTTGGTCTACTATTTTGATCGTGGTGATGATGGTGTCGTTATTGGTGCTAGAACATGTGGTGGTTCCAGCCGCAGCAGGGAGGGTTTTAATGGAGAAGTCAGGAGAGGGAAGAGCGACGGTGATGAGTGTGGAGAAGATGAAATCGACGGTGGATTCTTGGTTTCAGCGTCTAGCTTCAGGTCCTAGTCCAAGAGGTCGTGGCCATTAATTAAGTTAGTTTTTTTGTTCGTTCTTTCTAGCCGGAGGGGATCAACAATGTCGATATAACCATGTGTATACAAAAAAGACAGCCAAAAGTTTTATTCAATTCATTTATTTTTTTTGTAGTTGTTTTTTCTCTAAACCATCATTATACATGTACATCCTTACTTTTTGTTGGTTATTAATTTGAATAAAATTTTGTACTCTGCCTTTTACGAGAAAATTATTTTGTGGTAGTTGGGAACGTACGAAGATATGCCTGAAACAAAAAAAAGTATTGAAAACGAGTGAGCCTTGCACGCCAGCTCGCCGGAGGTCACCTTTTAACATTTTATATTACATAGTTTTTTGCCATATTCCTGAGGACAACGAGACGTCTCTGCAACATGAGTTGGAGTGAGAACATAGCATGAAAACTGGACTTTGCCGGGCAGTAAAATAAAGAGCTCACAGTTGGTTATTATTTTAGAAGAAAAGCAGAGGGGGCTTGATTTAGAGAAAGTTAATAAAATGGGAAATTTGGAAACAAAAAGTTTATCCATATTTGGAATGATAAAAGTGCACAATAAACGGTTTAACAAAAGGAAATTGTTAACTAAACCATTTAATGGGAACATAAAGCCAATAAACTAAGAAAATAAAAGGATTCATTGTGCACATAAAAACCATATAGCTCTCTTCCTCTGCCCATCCCTTCAAACTTTGGGCTCACTCCTCTCTGTAGTCTGGATTTTCTTTCAATATGATGAAACCTTCTAGTATGGGTGACAATGGAATGTACCTGTGACCACCAAATAAAAACATTAGATTCCAAAAATGTAAAACAGAGTTTCGTCTAGAGTAGGAAAATGTGATAAAGGAAACAACATACTTGTCAGTTGCAAGCTCGGCTCTCTCCCCAGCAGCAAGGAGAACAGGTGTTGAGTGCGTTTGGAACCCAGTGATTGTCTTGGGACGACCTGCCTGTCCAACCACATCAACTGCTTGTCCTACTCGCACTGGCACGGAGATGGGTTTCAGGTTCTCATCTACTGTCAGCATCATCCTTGGCTACACACTCAAAACCGTTTGTGGTTAATACATAAACATCGCTTAATCAGTTGAACAAAGAAATCATCGGACAGAACATTTCACTCACCTGCATCGCCAGAACCAGGAAGTAGAGCACGTAATGGTATTTCCCAAGTATGATGGATTTCATGTCAAGGCATGCATGTAACAATGTCACTATACCAGCAAGCGCGGTTCTGGACACACACACAAAATAAAACACATGTTTAGGATATGTGTTAAAACACAAGTATTCAAATAGTAAATGTTAAAACTTACGGGGATAGCAAGAGCCTCTCGGAGTGGAAGGGGCTGAGAGTTAAGAGACCCTTTCCCATATGCACCAGACCTTGAGCAATACGCACCTGCAATTACAACTTAAACATAATGAGAAGAACTGTGTTTATAACACGAATACAAAAAAAACATAAAATTTAACACATTACACAAAAGAGAAGACTAGCATCCTTGTAGTAATAGCTGGAGAGGTTTCTAAGCATGCCAGCAATCCTTGCATTGTTAGTTCCAGCGCCGATCAAACCAAGGGAAATAATTGCCGACTGTAAAAATCAGATGAAACATTAGTCCAACGCTAAGTCAATGAAAAACTAATACACCTGAGTCTTGAGTGGTGAAAAGATAACTCACCATGGCAACTTCTGAATCTGTGTCATGGCTGAGACGGCTCAAGGTGTCCATAACAGTCACCTTTGGGTTTGATATACATAGGAGACCAAGGGCTAACGGCACTGCACGGCGAACGTTCTGTTCTCCATACTGTAGCACGCGCTCCAGAGAACGGATCGCCATGTCAAGACCCAATTCTTCAGACATAGCAACCATTGCTAATCCAATCACAGCTGGACCCTGGTGGATATCACCTTTCTCCAGATGCTCTCCACACTGAGCCAGAAGGTCTTGGACCTGAACAGTTACAGAATCAGCGCAACTAAACTAGCAAGTAGGAAGAAATGAAGTACGCAATTTACACTTGAGCATATACCTTAAGGACGTTCCCAGTTCCAGCATACGCACAGGAAAGAAGTGTCATATCACAATACTTTCTGATTTTCTCATTGAATGTCTTTGAAACCTCTGCGGTAGCCTCCACACTTTCCTGCTCGATATTGTAACAAGTTAACACTGATAAGCGAGAGAAATAACAATAATCAAGTGTGCAACTCGTTGCGTACCTGTTTGCCAAGGTACAAAAGTCCAAGTCCAAGAGGCAAGAAACGAGTGAGGGCTTCACCAAGTTCTGCCTCACTCCGATCCATCAAAGCGAATATCATAGACTGTGCAACCTCTTCGTTGCACGAACCAACATAAATCATTCCCAAACTAAGTGCAGCAAATGCAATCACATCGAGAGGTGCTTTTGCATCGTTTAGTATTGGAGACAAGCTGCTTCTTATCTGTCCATATAGTGAGAGCATGTTATTGTCTCGTCAACAGAACATCTAACATAGCACTGTAGGTAAGTAGACAACAAACATATCTTAACCTGATCATTTTGGGAGCCTGCATAGGCAATCCCAAGACCCATAATAGCACCAATTCGGACAGATGAATCCTCTTTGTCAATATATTCTCCAAGAAGAGCCAATGCCTGAAAAAGAAACGTGAGTGAGAAAAGTGTATAGTATATAGGTTCCATTAAAATCGAAAAAGAACGCAACTCACAGGATCACAATCATTCTTAATGCCGCAATTAACAATCCCAACTCCAAGCAGAGCTCCAGCGATGATGGGATTATCGTTGGTATGGAAATATTTGTCGAGATGAGTGAGTCCAGCGTCCACATCCCACAACAGAATCATACCCTAGCATTAAGAGACAACGACGTCCCGTTACAATTATCACTTCAAAGATATCAAACAAAGCTAGTTAATGAATGAGGAGAGGCATACCAGACTAGCAGCTGCACTGGTCTTGCCATGTTCTTTGTTTTTGAAGAGCCAGTTTCCGGCAGATCCAGTGGTCGAGTCTGATGGCACTGTCATTAACTTGTCCTGGCCAAAACCAGCATTTACAAATGCATTCACAAAAGTGGCAGCCAGGTTTTGTCTAGCAGAATCCGCACTTGGGCCAGAGCTAGCCCTGCCATCAAGCAAGTGAGCCTGCAAAAATTACATTGAATAGATAAGAGACACTGAACCAAAAAAAAAACAGATCATGTAACCAAATAAACCAAAAAACAGGCCTAATTTTGAATAAAGCTGATAATACCTTGTAGATGTCTTCAGGCGTCTTGGCCTCCATGACCTCAATATCCCTTGCAAGCGTCAGATATCCTTCACTTAACTTAGTGTTGTTAACAATGTCCTGTAGCATCTCTCTGTCAACTTCATTCTCAACCATCTCAGGGTCAAGCTCAAAGGTGATGCCCTGCATGGTGGATTAATAAGAAAGTGAGTCATCAGGTACTGAAAGTCTTAAGTGATGTTAATCATTTATTCATTAAACACTTACATGACGTGATATCATGTAGCAGAACTGTTTCTTTTTCAGCAAATCAGTGCATGAGGTAAACACTTGCTTCACATACTGCAATAGGGAAAAAAATATATCATGTAAGAAAAATACATCACTTCGAGGATATTAAGTTATGTATCAAGAATAGAGACCAGACCTGCATGTTATCAAGAAACAGTGCAATTTGCAGAGCGTTTGGATATTCTTCAAACTTGATGTAGATCATGTAAGCAATATCTAAAACCAGCATGTCATCCGGTCCTGGAAGGAACCTGAACAAATAAAAACATACAATGAGTGAGATAACCAAGCAAAGCCATGCAACACTAGTCACATGAATAAGATGAAAGTATCAAATTACTTGGCTGCACTTGTGAGATAGTTGCACGTCCTCCTGAAATTTGTGCGGTCTACATGCTCAAGTAAGAGATCAAGATCCTCAACATCCATTAAGAGGTCAACAGCTTCGGTTTCAGCATTATGCTGCAATAAACAAAATGGAATCCTTCAGAAAAAGAAAACACAAGAGATGCAACCAAGAAAAGTAAGTATGACAGGGAAGGATCTCACCTTCATGTGAAAAGCAACAATTTGCTGCACAAGATCCATTAAGTCCTCAATAGAAGCCTCCTCACCCTGATTTAACCAAAAAGAAAAGAACAAGCATATAACCATATTTTAGAAGCAATTTTAAATAAAATAGAATAACAAATTGTCATAATATTCATGACCAATTTGTTTACTAACCTGACGAACTGTATACTCTTCTGCAATCTCTCCAGCCAAGTTCCTGACATACTCATGACCCCAGGATCCGATGTCACCTTCGGATCCAGTCAACCTGTATCCTAAGCTTTCCTGAAAGAGTATTGCATAAACAAAGTCAAGCAACAAAAATTACCTCAAATTCTAACAAGAATCACAAACTACAAATCTGTTAAGGCATATCATAGTAAAAACACACACTAAACAAATATAATCAATTCAGTGATAGTAAGAAAAAAAAACGTTTTAATATTCCTACTATAATAGCAAGAAAGAACATTACCCTTTCACCCTCAGCAGACATGGTCAGCGCCAAGACAGACAGTATATCAGCCAGCAACTTCTGCAAAATACATAACAACCAATCTTTAATCCAATATACACAGTAGAACGAGTAAGAAGATGGTAATAACTTTCTTGAAAATTGTTACCTTGAGATCAGACTCAACCATATTCTTATGAAACTCCTTAAGAGTTCCATAATGAGGACGGAGAAACTTGAGAGGCTTAGGAACCGAAGTCATGGAGCTTGTTGACGCACGAATCTCCTGCCTACAGATAAAAACAAATTAGCCCCAATTAAGGTTAAATTACAATAATAAAAACTTAATTATTTGAGTATTTGCAGCAAATGAAATTTAACTTTTACCTCATGCTTTCAAGAGCAGCCTTCTGAAGTTCAGGATTAGGGTCTTGAACCCTCTCAACATATAGCTCAAGGTTTTGCTTCAGTTGCAAGTCTTCTTCAGACTACAAATCAACATCAGATTCAAAAACAAAGTCATATACTAATCAATTTAGTAATCATCTAAACCCTAAATCTCACTACATTCCTGCAAAATCTACAGCTTAATCTGATTTTAAACAAAGATTTCAAGAGAGAGGTTACCAGATCTTCTTCCTTCTTATCATCCTTCTTCTTTGGATCCTTGGTCGGAACCTTGGTCGTGGCTTCATCTCGCTTCGGACCATCACCAACGCTGTTCGGATCTGGACTTGGAGCCATCTTGATTAAACGAGCGCACGATTAAGTTGAAGAATCGTAGGAATTCGAAATTTCGGACCAATCGAGCGAGCGAACCCTAAGACTTTTAAAGTGCGAGTTGGAGAGGAATGATGCTTTTCTTCCGGAACTGAACTGTGGTAATGAAAACAGATACACAAGTAAATATACACACGAACGGAGAAGATTACCCATTGGTCAAGATTTCTATTATGGGCTCGGCCCATATAACAGTAGGCTACTTAATGGGCTAAGGAAAAAATATATGATAACAATGTGTTTTTAACTTCTTGTAAACTAATTTATTGGAGTAAAAATTACAAAAGGGTACTCTTTTTTTTATTACTTTATTAATTAATATAAAATAATATTACAAAAGGGTACTCTATAAGTGATAATTATCATCTTAACGACTTTGTTTTATTTTTATATTAATATATATATAATTGATGAAATTATATGTTTTGAATTATCGAGATAAAATTGTAATTTTAAAATTTTGAATCTCAAAGTCCTTGGTACAAAAAATTAATGAGCTAAAAAATTTAGAATTAAAAAAATTAGAAAATGTTCTTTTTGTTTTAAATTTTTTATTTTAAAGTATTAATATTAGGAAAACTTTTTATTTGAATAATATCCAATTATTAAAAGACATATATTGTTAACTGATTATAATATCAAATAAATATAATTTGTATTAGAATATAGATAAATTCTATTCTGCAAAATTTAAACCAATCTACATTATAAAACAAGAGAAAATATGAAATGTAATGTCTATTCTCTGCTGTTAAAAAACGTTTATTTTCTAGTAATGGAAAAAAATGTTAATTTTCTAGAAATGGAAAAACAAAAACAAATAAAGGAAAATCATAAAAGAGAAAAGGAAAACAAACGGAAAGGCAAGAGGGCAAGCAAACACCGTCAACGAACGAAGAGAGATAGCGATCTTGTCTTCTCGAAGCTTCGACGAGATTCCCTACTTGTAAGAAACTTCAATTCCGAAAGAGAAAGAAAGAAAGAGAGAAGACATCGATAAATAGAAGAATACCTTTTTTTTTTTTAATTAAAATCACCAATCAGATTCAGAAAAACTGAAGAAACGAAAGAGAGAAGACGAAGAGATGGGTGTGGATTACTACAAGCTTCTTCAGATCGATAGAAGCGCCAGCGACGATGACCTCAAGAAAGCTTACAGGAAACTCGCCATGAAATGGCATCCCGACAAGAACCCCACCAACAAAAAAGAAGCCGAAGCTAAATTCAAACAGATCTCCGAAGCCTACGATGTATGTTCTGTCTTTATGTCTCAATTTCGAAAGTTCATTCCTTTATCGAATTATTGAATTTAAAAAATCATTCTTTTTTATTTTCCTCAGTTCTAAAAATCGTTCCTTTATTCAATTCATCCCAAAAATTTGTCGCCTTTCACGATTTTGTGAATCAATTAGTCGCACAGATTTGCTAATTTCACGATTTTGATCTTATGGGTTTGCTTAGAATCATAGAATAAAGCTAAAGATGGTTGCTTTATGTTTGATCTTTATGTAGGATTGTTACTTTGATTCAGGCCTTATGTGGTTAACATTGGTCTTTGTTTTATTTTAGGTTCTTAGCGATCCTCAGAAGAGAGCAGTGTATGATCAGTACGGTGAAGAAGGGTTAAAAGGGAACGTTCCACCTCCCAATGCTGCTTCTGGAGCTTCCTACTTCTCTACAGGAGATGGGCCTTCCTCTTTCGGCTTCAACCCGAGGAGTGCTGACGATATTTTCGCCGAGTTTTTCGGGTTTTCGACACCGTTTGGTGGAGGAGGAGGAGGTGGTGGTGCTGGTGGATCAATGCACCATCATCACCATCATCATAATCATCATCAGCATCACGCTGCACCAAGGAAAGTGGCTCCTATAGAGAACAAGCTTCCTTGTAGCCTTGAAGATCTTTACAAAGGAACCACCAAGAAGATGAAGATCTCAAGAGAGATTCTAGATGTCAGCGGGTAATGATTGATCAATGCCTCCTTTAATCTTAACTCTTTGACATTACCTAACTCTATGTGTTTTGGTCTTTTGTAGCAAAGCAACGCAAACAGAAGAGATTCTAACGATTGGAGTGAAGCCTGGATGGAAGAAAGGAACAAAGATCACATTCCCTGAGAAAGGCAACGAGCATCCCGGAGTGATTCCAGCTGATCTCGTCTTCATCATCGACGAGAAGCCACATCCTGTGTTCACTCGTGACGGCAATGACTTGATTGTCACGCAGAAGATCTCACTAGCTGATGCCTTGACAGGCTACACCGTGAACCTAACGACCCTTGATGGTCGTACACTTACAATCCCAATCACTAATGTGATCCATCCAGAGTATGAAGAAGTGGTGCCTAAAGAAGGCATGCCACTTCAGAAAGATCAGTCCAAGAAAGGGAACTTGAGGATCAAGTTCAACATCAAGTTCCCAGCAAGGTTAACTACAGAACAGAAGGCTGGTTTCAAGAAGATGTTTGGGTGATATAGTTCAAGATTGGGTTCTAATGCCTCCCCTGTTGTTTAAATTATTTCAAGATAGTTACAAAGATATTTGGTTAAGAAACAAAAAGTCTTTTGTGTGTGTGTTTACTACAAAAGTGTCTTTATTTATTTTTTACTCTTGTCTAGAGATATGAAACTATTCTTTGGTTAGTGGAGATCCAATGCCGTGACGACGCGTGGGGAACACGAGGAAAAATCCGCCGCAAACAACGCCGATGATAAAAGGTAAACCGGTGAGAAGTTCCTTGGTGTCTTCAGAAGGAACAGGGAACAAGCAACGGATCACGTTTTGATCAAACATGGAGATTGCAAAGAAGACGAGCATTGACATGATTGCATGCATGAAATCAAGAAACCTTAGCTTATATTTTTCCTTCTCTTCTTCCGTTAGTGTAATTGTTCCATCCATCACCATTAAACCACTAGGTGTCGCTAGTCCGTACCTGACCTGTGAAAAAACAGAATCATCATGTTTTCAAAACTTAACAAATGATCTTACGATGGAGAACCTGATCTGAGATTTGGGAATTATTGACATTTATTAAATAAAATTAATGTATATAATTTAATTTGAAATTCTATTTTAATGTATACTAGTGGTCCGTCCGCGCTGCGCGCGGGTTGTTGGATATTTTTATTAGTTTAAATTTAAAATTTATTTGTTGGTGGGTAATGTTATATTTTTGAATGTGTTTTGTTTATAAGAATGGTGGATTATGATATCAAAGTGATGGCATAATGGTTAGATGTTTAACATTTGGACTTTAAGTTTAAATTCAACATTTGCTTTGAATTAGTATGTGCTTTTATTGTTGTTATTTCTGCTGTAGCTGGGTGGTCTTTTGTTACTATTTATTATTTATGTTCCTTATGATTTTGCTAGTATTTAATATTTATAATTTACTTTGATTAGTAATTTAAACCTGTGTATTTCATGCCATTAAATTCCTGTGTTTCTGTTTTGAGGAAGATTTGTTTTAAAGAGCGTCAACATTATCGTTTTTAATGCATCCTCATATCTGTTGCTGTTTTTTAGTTGAAATTACGCTGTTTGTGTTTAAATTTTATCTCCTCTATTATTATGGATTTCTTAAACTTTAATTTTTTTCTCCAAACGTTTGAATGGGTGTGGGGTCAATATAATGTTTTTGGTTTGGATGTTTTCTAAAACTATTAAAAATCTCATTTTGTAATGTTCTCGTATTATGCTACTGTTGTTTGTAATGTATTCGATGTAATCGTATTGACGGAAGCCTACTTCTGCGAATTTCTCTCAGTTTCAGTGACGCTGTCGACGTAGTATTTTTATTGGTTTTAATTTTAAATTTATTGTTTTGTTTGGTTATTCTTTTTTCCTTTTATTTTGTGTATGACAATGTTCGTAATTTTTTAGTTACATATGTTTCTGAATGATTGACCGTAAATGTTTATAGTCTTGTAGATTTGTTTGTTCAATTATTGTTTAGTTGGTATTTTTTTTGTTTGTTAAAATATTTTTAAATGGTGAAATTGGTGGTTAATATTGTAGGGTTTTAGAGTTTCAACCTCGTTCTGTAGTCTTGTAAACGCGTATTGTAGGAAAAAAAATAGTAGTTTATAGGCCACCCTAAACTAAGCCCATCACCAAACATCAAACCAAGACATCAAACCAAGACATCAAAACCAATTCAGACCAACACGGGATTGAAAATTATGTGGTTCAATTTAAAAAATTGATTGCTGACATGTCATTTTTTGCCCCCCTATCAAAAGCTGAGGTGGACACCCTAAGAAGGGAGAATAGTCAACTTTATTGTATAAGATAACATTAAAAAGAATTTGGAGTTGAAGAGGAATGTTTCATTTGACTTAGCTAAGGCTGAGTATAAGATCTGTATCCGAAGTATTGATCTGAAACCGATCCTAGGTATCGAATCCGGTCAGATATAGTTTAAATATTCGAAATGGTTTTTTTCAAAACCCAAAATACCGAAACCGAACCAGACCCGTACCGAGAACCAAATGGATATCCGAACGTATCCAAACCTATAAATATATATGAAAAATAATATTTATAATTACACCTTTACTAATAGTAATACCTAAAATTAAAATTATATATCAAATATATCTATTTTGGATATTTATAGATAGGAATTGATGTTTTAGATACAAAATATCCAAATAACATTATATCATTATTATTTTTTACAAACAAATAACCAATTTGCACCATATATATTAAGTATTTTTGGAATTTTAGTTATTTTTAGATAAGTTTAAGTAGTTTAGAATAAAATACCCGAATAGAATCGAGTACTTTGGTTACTTCGGTTAAAACCCGAATCTACCTAGAACCCAGAGGACCCGACTCAAACCCTACCATTTATTTTTAATACCCGAATGAGACAATTTTTCATAACCCGAATAAATTGATATCCGAATGGATCGTACTCATACCCAAAGGGGTACCCGCCCAGGCCTAGACTTGGCCATATCCAGTGGAGAGAGATGTGTTACCTTGCCGCGTGGGTCTCTGAAGGAGTCGGTGAAGGAAAGGAGGAAGCAAGAGACGGCGCAGATGAAGACGAGAAAGCAAGTGAGCCAGCGACTGGCGATGGTTGGACACTGACCCTGATGGGTTAGGACAGGGCACATTATTTGAAAACCCATTACAGAACCGGTGGGGAGGAGATTTGAGAGATGAGCTGTTCCTTTGAATGCTTTCCTCGCCACTTTCTGTACTTTAGACTTTGGTTTTCTTGGTGCTTCAGGTAACGACGATATTAACAAGTGTTGCGTTTCCGCCATTACCTTATTTCAACTAATCACTCTGCAAAGTTTCAATGATTAGAGAATGTCTCTTTGGACAAGGTTTTCTTATGGGTTCTTTTGTTTTGTGTCTTGTTCCGTTGAGTTGTTGTGTTCAGGTTTCGAGGTTGATATTCTGTTCTTCCATTTTTATGTTTCTGTTGCAGGTCAGAGTTGCCAATAAAAACGTAAAAACGAATGAGAATCTTGAATAACGAAACAAGAAATAGGAGTTTTCATAACAGAAATATTTCTCTTTTTTTTTTTGATGAAACGTTTTACCGTTTCTTAGAGTATAGTAAATTTAACAAAATTAATTTTATTACATTGATGATATGAAACATGTGATTTCGTTGAAAATCTCCATATAGTTGCACAGTCCAATTTTTTTTTAAACTATAACCATGTATAATAAAAAAAATAACTCCATGAAATTTATTCAAAATATCAATTAACGAAATTCTCTACATACTTCATAATATAAACAAAATCACAACCTTTAAAACTGTTCTGAACCTTCTTTATTGATGGCATGCACCTGATTGACAAAATGAATATGAATTTTGTTCTGTTTAAACTAAAGCAATGGTAACTTTTTCATTATTCGTTTCAAATATGTAAAACCAGTTTTATTTTTGCAGCTCAGAAATAACCAATAACACGTTGGAGTACCGTGACTGTTTTTGAGCTTTGGGTAGCTTTGGACGAAACGCACGCACGTTATGTTTAATACAGTTTAAACGAATGCCCGTAAATGTATTTGTAAGTTAACTAAGATGACTCTTGTAACGCTATCTAACTAAGATATAGATATGACGAAATGGGGTTTATAACCGGTTATCGATCCCATCCTTTATCTCGGGTTCAAAGAAGAGATTAGCAAAGTCATTCACATTGGTCTTCTATGTACGAGTCCTCCTCCTTTAAACTAATCTCCATGAAAAAGTTACAATCATGCTTCACGGAGTCTCTGGTATTGTTTCTAGTAGTAGTCCACCAAATGCGTACCGTGGGAAACTCTCGCAGTACTACACGGAAGACTTAAGGTTGGTGCATAAATTGTTATTGGTGTGTGTTTGAGTTAGGTGAATTGTATGAAATCAGAAACAGAAAAGCGGAGCTTTCTGATTAGGTAATAGCTCTTAATGTTAAGAAGTTTGGATATGATATTAAATTAACGCAATGATTACAACATTTGATGGTTGGTCCACCTCCACCCAATAGCCAACCTTCATTTAGTCATACTCGGCCACATTAATTTGCAAACTACTTTGCATTCTGAGGATCAATTTTTTGAAAAGAATATCTTAAACTTCATCATGTCTTTATCTTACACCAAAACTTATACGCAGTTTATAAAGTCATAGTGGTGGATGTGAATTCATGAATGTGATGATGAAGTTATATTTCTATTTTACCAGAAAGACATAGGATAGAGTAGACAATAATAAAAGTATAACATGACTTCAGATCTTCAATATTAACGGGGACGAGGGGGATAAAAGTACTTGACTCAAATGCTTGATACTCGGCTTGTACTCACTATTTGACTCGGTTTGGTTTGAAAGAATAAGTACTTGCTCCATTCAAGTCGAGTAACTCGCAAGTACAAGTCAAGTATCAAGTTCATTTTAATTTTTAACTACTTGGTTTGTTACTTGGTTTATTGCTTGTTATTTTTTACTTGTTACATGTTATATGTTATTTGGTTTATTAAATATTTAGTATATATTTCATTAATTAATTAAAATTTATGTATTTTATGAAAGACCACAATTATTTGTTACTTGCCTCAGGTTCACTACTTGGTTGGTACACGATCCCTAAAGTCGAATACTTGTTTTGACTAAAACGTTTATCAAGTAGTCTATTTAAACTGTTTTCAAATACAACCAAATACAAAATAATAAAATAAAAATAATTATTCAGTGTTGTTTCGTTTATTATGTTTCTTTGTCAATGAACAAAAATACATTTTCCTAAATCATAGTAAAATAATTCTTTTATATTTCAATTTTTTAAGTGAATCAAACATAAATGATATATTTATATAAATATTTTGGAATTTTTTATTTCTTAATATAATCTATTTCACGAATGATTAAAAATCAGAAAACAATGACAAAACAATGACATATTTTTATATATAATAAATTTATTTACCTTAAATTTTAATTAATTATCAAATAATTTATCAATAATTATCAAGTAATTTGTAAAAATTTTACAAATAACAAATAATAAAATAAGGCAAGTAACTTGCAAGTCCATCCATTTTTCGCAAGTACTTGAAACTGCAAGTATTCGTTTTTAGCAAACCAAGTACAAGTTTAAAATTTGAATACTCATACAAGCAAAATCGAATACTAAGTATACCAAAAACATTAAGTACTCGGCTTGTGTCCACTCCTATATTAAACTAGATGAGAAAAAAAAAAGTAGACGAGAAAAAGAAAGGAAAAGAAAAGTTGAGGTTCCTTGTTATGCATCATGCATGAGAAATGAGAAGTCTGCGTGAAGAAATAGAATAATGACTGACTTTTTAAGTTTCTTTTCTTCTTATACGTAAGAAACTTCTCTACTTTTATTTATTCATTTTCGCTATATTACATATAACAAATTCATGTCACGAAGTGATAGTTTCCTTTTTCCATGAGACACCTTTTTCAATGGATATATTTTTTTAGTAATTTTGAAATCCAAAAGGGAATTTTTTTCTATAGTGAAATGAAATCTATAGTGAAATTATCATATTATGGCATGTATATATCTCTTCTAACTTGGTGAAAAGAATATCACATTTGACGTTTTTAGAATAGATTTCCAAATAGTTACTTAGTATAGTTATAAAGTATCAAAAAATGGAAAAAATGAAACTAATTATAGAATTTTTATTTCCGCGCGACCTAGAATTCTGTCGTAATATATAATACTATTTCTGTATTTCAGCAAAGATGTATATTATAAGTGGAGACGTTGAGAAAAAGATGTATATACAAATGTGTAAATTATAAGTATGTATAAGCTTATGTAATAATATCTTTACATACACTCTAGGTTGACATTGGACCTTAATTTCTTTTTCATATTTTTGTTTCTACCAGATCACGTCTAAGCTCTCACAGACAGCAGTTAACATTGCTCCAAACCCACTCCATCTCATATTCATTTTAGACCATATGCGTTTATAAGTAAATTACCCGATTAATAAATTGATTAGTTGCATATTTTATAGTTTATACAGCACACAAATTACGACCAGATAAACGTATTTGGGTCATAACTTACGAATGTTTTAATTCTAAACAAAACCTCAGAATGTTTTTAGCAAAGGTTAATATTAGTTAAAATTGTTCTTGTCAAAAAGGAACCTTACACATATTATTTCCTCGTTGAATAAAAAAAACAGATATTCTTTCATAATACTTTGTTTTTCTTTTCATATATGTTTTGTTCGATCAGTCTCTGTCTATTTCTTCCCTCTCACAGACCATACATACCATGTAGAAGCCTAACCAAACTTAAAACCCAAGCAATCTTTCTTTCCTTTTCTTACGATAATTATTTATTAATTAATCTATTCTTCAGAATATCATTGTATTAGCAAAAAGAATGTACAATGTTCATTCAGTTAAACATGTTTACTCAAGTATGTATATCTATTCTCTATATATTTGCAAAAAGAGTTCCAATAGTTATCAATGTTATATATGTAAAATATTGACTTTGAAAGTTTCATAGTTAAGAGCATGTCCAATGGTGTAACTCACCATTGGAATCCTTAAGCATTTTATAATATTTTTTTTGTTATTTGGTTACTTTTTGAATAGTTAAGAATTTTAATGAAAATGCTAAGTCCAATAGTGTTATCCATAATAGAATCCTTAGGAATACAAAAATATTTATGTTCTCTCTTAAAGATTCAGGTTTTGTTGTTCATATAGGATCAAGAGAAACAAAAGAAAATGTTTCATCGCTAAAGAGATGTTTTACCTCGTCTTTTTGATTAGGATCAGCTCCAGCTTTAAGTAAACAGTTGATTAACTCAAGATCTCCAATATCAGCAGCAATGTGCAACGGAGTTGCACCACCAGCAAACACATTAGCTTTGGCACCTGCCTGTACTTAATAAAATAAGAACCAAGCTTGATCTAAGATGTATAACAGCACTACGAGTAAAGAACATCTCAAACCTTGACCAAGAGCTCTAAGCATGCCACAGAACCAGCTGCTACTGCAGATAACAATGGTGTGACATTATCTTCAGTCTCAGCGTTAGGCTGCAAAGTCATTAAAACAAACAAACTTTAAGTTTCGTTGAAGATTATGGTTTAGATGGAAACTCAACTAAAGATATAATACACAAGAGGTTACATCAGCATTGTGTTGTAACAAGACTTCCACTGCATCTTTTTGATCATGGCCAGCAGCCCATATTAACGGTGTGCCAGATTCACTTTGAGAATCAACAGGAACACCTCTAGAGAGCAGTTCCTTTACCAACTCAATTTCCCCTAATGATAAGCAAACACACACAACAATTGGTGACCTGAGAAAGTGAAACGAAATAAACAACGGAGTAATCAACAAACCAACCTGTCCCAGCTGCATGATGCAAAGCAGTAGCTCCTAGTTCACTAGCAATATTAGGATCAGCTCCGTGATCTGAAAGGTACTTAGTCGTCTCAATCTGTCCTTGCCTTGCAGCATGAACAAGTGGAGTATCCCCTGCAACATTATTACAAGTCTTTAAAATAATGACATTTGGAAAAAAAATAGAGCTATAAGTTAAGACTAACCAGCTTCATCTTTTGTGTTGGCGTCAAGTTTCAGCTCTTCTATGCATTCAAAGGAAATATATAGTAGAACGAAGAGAGCCAAAAACAGAGCAAATTATAAAAGTGAACTTTATTCATGAGACTGATCCAACTACAGAGAAGTATCAATACCCATCAAGGCATCAAGGAATCACGATGCAGTCAAAGAAAAGAGATTGATACATCTATCTAACACATAGAAGAAGAACAGAGCCAAAACAGAGCAAATTAAAAAAAAAAAGTTAACTTTATTTATCAGAGATCAATTCAACTAAAGAGAAGTGTTAAAACCCATCAAGTAAACTCTATGCATTCAAAGGAAAGAGATTGATTCATCTTTCTTTATAAGAAGGAAGAGAGCAAACCTGCAAGAGCAGTAGAAGCATCAAGAGCCATGGCAGATAACTAAGCTTGTTCCTCTGATGAGTTAATGAAAACTTTGAAGCAGAGTATCTCACTCAAAGCATGTGAAATCTAAAAGAGTTTGAACAAAAGCTACAACTATTGAATATTCAGACCATCAAGTTTCAAGCAGTATACACACACACACATGAAAAGGTTTAGACTTTTCTAACCTCAACGTGAACCTCTTTAGCCTCTGATGCTTGAGAAGCACTCCACAAGGTCTGAGAATGAGGAGGAGGAGGAGCAGTGGTAGCGAAATAATCCTCATCTTCATCGTCACTATCAATATCAGCCCAAGCCTTAGCCTTTAGAGGCGTAGGAGCCCAAAAGACCTGTGGCTCAGCCTCCTTAACCGGTTCTGTGACCTTAACAGACTTCTTCTTCTTCCTCCGAGTATCCAAAGCTGCGAACAAGTTTGTGTTTTGAATCGTCGGTTTCATCGATCCTTCCTCTCTCATGTTTCCTCCACCACCAACCATCTCTTCATGATTCAGATAAGCGTAAAGTTTGTTCCTTTATGGAAACCCAGTAACTGAAACTCTCGATTTCAGCTGGATCGAGCAATGAGGAAGAGATAAAAAAAAATTAATTCGATTTCTACGATGATCATATGAGCGGCGATTCTGGAAAGTGATTGATAATTAGGGGTTTTTTTTTAGAGAAGCAGAGCTTGCTTGTGGCAGCAGATCTTCATCAGATCAGTTCACTTTTTTTTTTCCCACCAAAAACAACAACAAAACGACGTCGCCACTTTATAAGGATCACCCTTCCAGAAATCCTTAGGTAAGGATTAATTCACCCAGTAACATAGCTTTTTATTATTATTTAATTAAAATCTGACAAGGATTTTTGCTAAGGATCAGTTAAAAAGCACCGTTGCACATGGTCTAAGTGTCCTTACACTTTCAAGTTGTAGGTGTACCTCTCCCTCTCATTGTTACTTAAAATGTATGTTTCCTTGTTACATTAAACAAACCCAAGTCTTAAAATAATACTTTCTTACTGAAGGTATACACTAGATTTGTATACATTATAAACTGATGAGATTATCTTTTGGGATACACTAGATTTGTATACATTTCTTTTGGGATTATCTCATTTTTCTCCCTCATGGATAGTACAAACTTAAAATCAAGTGCAAAAAATAACAATTAACTCAACTTAAAAAGTGGTGAACAAGAATTCAATTCCTTCCTCTTTCTCAAGATAACCTCAAAGAGTTCTAGTTAGGAACATATGCTTTAGACATCTTTAACCCTTTTTCCCTTCTCTCTCTCAAGCCTTTGTTTATTCTAATGAAGTTGTGAGAAGTGGGGACGAAGAGAAGAGAAGTAATGCACAAGAGGAAACTAAGAGAGACAAAACAATATGACTTGGTGCAATGACAGTAGCGATGTTCAGACCGTTGAAACAATCATTCTCTCCCCAACAGTGGCTAAGTCTCCTGCAGCCTCATTTCCAGTCTCTTGTCACAAAACCTGTCCTTCTTGTGGCCATAAATTCAAGTTTCATGAACAGGTTTTTGTTCTCTATAGCTATATTCAGCTTCTAAACATTTGGAAACTATTCGATGATTATTGATATGAATATAATCCAATGTGTATAGGCGGGGATCCATGACTTGCCGGGACTGCCTGCCGGAGTGAAGTTCGATCCGACAGATCAAGAGGTATTGGAGCATCTTGAAGGAAAGGTAAGAGACGATGCAAGAAAGCTTCATCCTCTCATCGATGAATTTATCCGTACCATCAACGGTGAAAATGGTATCTGTTACACTCATCCTGAGAAATTGCCAGGTGATTATATATGTTGTGTTTTTATTTATAACAATCCTATCAACAATTATTCACTTTTTCCTTAATTAATAGGGAATATGATGTTTTATAATTTATAAATATTAAATAGTAAATAAACCATTTTTGGCTATCATTTTTTTACTAATTTTCAATTGTAGTAGAATTTGCTATTCTAACAGTTGAAAATGTCAAATAGAAATAGCGTATCCAACTGATTAAGCAGAGTGTTATATATACCTTTTGTTCCGAGAGTAATACCAAATTAAACTATGTTTTGGTAAATGCTAATTACAATTAGTAACTGAATATATACATTAATTCATGTTCACATATATAGGTGTGAGCAAGGACGGGACGGTCCGTCATTTCTTCCACAGACCGTCAAAGGCATACACGACGGGAACAAGAAAGCGACGTAAAGTTCACACTGACTCCGAAGTAGGCAGCAGCGAGACACGGTGGCACAAGACCGGTAAAACACGGCCAGTTCTCACCGGAGGAAGAGTGAGAGGCTACAAGAAAATCCTAGTACTCTACACAAACTATGGCAAACAAAAAAAACCCGAGAAAACAAATTGGGTAATGCATCAATATCATCTTGGTACCAACGAGGAAGAGAAAGAAGGTGAACTAGTCGTCTCCAAAATCTTCTACCAGACTCAACCACGCCAATGCGGTGGCTCCCTTGCGGCTGCAGCCACGGCAAAGGAGCGGCCTTACCTCCATGGCCATCATCTCGGTGGTAATGGTGGTGGTCGCCATCTTTATCATAATAACGGTAACGTTAAAGGCAATGGCGGTGGAGGATCCGCCGGAGCCAGTGAGTATTATAACAATATTCCCGCGATTATCTCGTTTAATCAAAGCGGGATACAGAACCATTTGGTTCATGGTGCTCAACCTTTTGTCCCTTAAAGAAGAGAAATAACTTTATATGGACGGTCGTAAAATAAGAAACGCTCTATAATCTAACCACTATATATTACATTAATACATGGAAAATAAAATAAATTACAGTTCAATCTTATAGACGCAACTTTTTGTTATCATTTCTTTTTCCGTTTTGGTTATATTACTTTGTACAATTTTATTTCCTCGAACTGATCATAAAAGAAATGTACAAAGATCTCTCTTTCCCTCTTGGTACATAAAATCCATTTTGATATTTTGTCAATGGTTGTGTGTGACAGTGTGTTGACAACATTGTACCGAAAACAAAATACACAACACTATGTACTTACTGTATTACATTATATGATCACTGCTACCAAAACATCTGCAAGATCACTTTGGTAAAAGAAAACATGTGTTGAAAATCATAAAAAAATCACCAAATGACATGTTTTCTTTATATTCTCGACGTGGCCTTTAAACTTTGAATTGAAGTCTGTATTATTTTTTTATCTTTTAAATTCTCTCCTTAATGACAAGTTTAGTACACATCAACAAAACTTTTCAGATCAATTAAATAAAACGTATGTTCACCAATTCACAAACTACAACTGTTGGTTAATTTTGGGATGGGCCCACAAAATCTTTGGCTAATGATTTCTTACGTTCTCTAGCCGTTGGATGATAGCTTCCCACCCCAGATTGCTGTTCCGTGATACGACAGAGTGTGCTGCATGCATGTGATTCATACTAATGTTCATCTCGCATTAGACAGTCAGTTAGACAGTTAGAGTAGAATTTTGAATCTGGCCGTCTGATGGGTGTTGATGCCATCCAAGAGCTGTACAACCTCTGGTACCATGCACTGCATCACAGCGAACCAAATCCTTAGAAAGGTATATATTTTAGCCGCAAAAACATTTTCTCTTTCAATTTTCCCTCTCTAACGTTTCCTCTCAACAATATTCCCTCTATAATGTTTCCTCTCAACAATGGCAGAAGAAGAAAGGTTACACACATGGACTCCGATCAAGGAGGCCATGGTTGAGCTGTGGAAAACTTACCTAGGTCCACCAATAGGAAGAGATCTCGAGTCCTTTTGCAAGGTAATCAACGATTATAACCAGATATTTCCACCAAAGTAGGTTCTTCTTTGATCTCTCTACTAAACTATTGCTTTTACATTTTTGCATCTGCTGTTGGAAACTTGCTCTACTTTCATGATTGTTGTATTGTTTTTGCATATTAGATACTAAAAATCAGAAAGTTGTACAAGAATTAAACACTACATCTATAGTCAAATCAAGCTGGAACAACTAGAGTTAGGATCTTCCATCTCCAAACTAGCTAAGAACACACCCTCAAATACATAAGGCCCAAAACCCAACTATTTCAGGGCCTTCCAATTTCTCGTTTTTCCAATCTATTTATACCTCCTCTTTTCTCACCATCTTTATAAACTTTAAGGTCCAGTCATCATCTAATACCTTAAATTTTAAATTCTAAATCTTAAATAATAAATTCTAATCTTTAACTCCTAAATTTCTGAGACCTAAATTATATCTTTAATGGTCGACGATCTATTTCCCCACAATAACTATCATATAGCATAAATCCCTACTAAACTATGACCTCGTGCTAGATCTCCACGAAATAAAAGTTATGGACTTATTTCTCCATGAATTGATAATTTAGAACTTAATTACCCATAAACCAATTAATTTTAATTGGTTTACTTGTTTTAATTGGTTTACTTTTAACCAAATAATATATATCAATTAAACCAAACAAAATTTAATTTTTGAATACATATTTTCTTTTTAAAAAGTTATTATCTTTTTCACAAACATTATTCCCTTTCTTCACCATTGTCAATATAGTGAATCCTTGATAAAATCTATATAGTGAAGTCTTAAATGGCTCCTCGATGGGTTGAGCCTGAGCAAGCCAATCGCTTAGTGGCACCATCATGTGTTGCTCAGGTTTGGTAGTGGCGGAGATGGTGTCAGAGTTTTGAAAGTGTGCTCGAGTGGTATCGGCCATTGGAGGTGAATTCGAGCTTAGATTGAGGATAAACAACACTGACCTTCACCACATCGGTTTATTTCTTATTTCGGTTTATTTGTTTCTTACCTGTCTCAAAAGAAATGTTTGGGCAGATATTATTTGATGAAGGAGATGATGATTTGATTTGGAAGAAGAAAGGCATGTGAAGAAGATGAATTTTAATTTTTAAAAAGATAAAAATATATCTTGTGAGTTTCTTCTGTTTCTTCGCTTTGGTTGTATTGATTGATGATAATATTAATTTATGTGTGGTTGTGGTTGTTCAGGTTCCACAGTCCAGGATGCTGAAGCTCTTTCATCATGCGAGAGACAAAATCAAGGAAAGAGAGAGAGGCCATAGGAGGAAGGAGAAGCAAACGTTGATGAACGAGAAGGTTGATGAAGCAAATCCTCTATATATTAATTGAGAAGCAAACAACATGTTTTGGTAGTCACGTGTCATCATGAGAATGCTTCTCAAATTTATTAGAAAAAAATATTAGTCCATATAAACATATAATATAGTTTTTGTTAAACTAAGCATAAAACTGTTATTAATGCTACTCATTATTTCCGTTAGTAAAATTTACGGAATTATCTAATATGGTTATAATATATATATATTACAATTAATGATTTGAATAAGAAAAATTTGATAAAAAATTGTATAACTTCTATTCTTTTTGTTGAACTTATATTATGAGAATAAATTAAACAATAATATTAAATATATAACAAAAAATAGACATTTTCATATATGTTATATTTTGAATTTTTAAAAAAGATTATAGATTAATAAAATATTTAAAAGTTTCACATATAATATTTTTTGATTAATAGTTTAAATTTCTTGTTATAGCACGATACAAAAAATATAATTAATGAGTAAGTAATCATTTAATAGATATTAAAATGAATTTAGTGATGTTTAAATTAAAATATATACCATTTAAATCCAAAATTGCATTAACCAAGTATTCAGAACTTAATACTTTAATGAAAAAATTGAATTTATTTTTTTCAACGATTATGAATTACTGTAAATATTAAATCTCTCATATTAAAAATTATGTTATTAATGGTTTAAAATTTTTGCTATAAAAATATACAAATGATCATAAAACCATGTAAGTGTAAAGCTTCATTTATCAGATGGCCAAATTAAAAGTATAATATATATATATATATATAAATAATATTATTTATTAATTAGAGTGAAAGTGATTGTAAATAAAAAAGTATGATTATTTTATTTAAGTGTTTGCGCTAAATTAATTGTATATATTAGAGTTACAGATTTCTCAATTATTCAATATATATATATATATATATATTTATTATTTTCTAATATAGAAAAATACAAAATAAAAATAACACATAAAATAATTTATATATAAACCCCATCCCGCGCAAATGCGCGGTTATTAACCTAGTAGGCTTATTGTTTCTCTCAACGATGCCATTGATGATCTCTGGATGTCGCTCCTTACTCCCCCTCAAGTTAGTCTCAGATCATTGATAGCCAATCTCGTTGATGGTGGAGATGTGCGGTTCCCAAACAAGTGCGTTTTAGTTTTTTTTTTTTTTTTAATTTGGTAGTTGTTTTCTCTTGTGATTTTGCTTACACGTGTGTGTGTCCTTCTTTTAGGCTTCTCCATGATTTTTTAGACATATTCAATCATTTCTCTGGATTCAACACCACATGCGAAGCAACATATGTGGAAACATTCCAAGAGGTTGACTGGAGTCCGCTTAGTGATCCTGAATACAAGGTTGTTTTAGTGTTATTTCGTGTTTGCCTTTCCATTGTTATTATCTCTTGTCCACTCACCACTTTGAACCGCTTGCAGATTCTCCAGCTTCTGATGCTTAATCTCTTTGAGGATCTTATTGATGATCTTCCAAAAAAGTTGGGTGCTGAAAAAACAAAAACACCTAAAGAGATTGAGGACGTCAAAATGAGGAAGAGGAAGCTTATTGAAAACTTTGCAAATCGCTCTGTTGCACTGAAGAAGAAGGCTTCTCGTGAAGGCCGCTTGGGCAGGGACATTGCCAAGCGGCCAGTTCTCATTCGGGGCATTGATATAACCAGAGATTTTCACCAAAGTAAATTCTTCTTTGATCTCTCTACTAAACTATTGCTTTTACATTTTTGCATCTGCTGTTGGAAACTTGCTCTACTTTCATGATTGTTGTATTGTTTTTGCATATTAGATACTAGAAACTATAAAGGTGTGCAAGAATTGAGCACTACATCTAGAGTCAAATCAAACCGGAACAACTAGAGTTAGGATCTTCCATCTCCCAACTTGCTAAGAATACACCCTCGAATACATAAGGCCCAAAACCCAACTAATTTCGGGCCTTCCAATTTCTTGTTTTTCCAGTCTATTTATACCTCCTCTTTTCTCGCCATCTTTATAAACTTTAAGTCCAGTCACCATCTAATACCTTAAATTTTAAATTCTAAATCTTAAATCATAAATTATAATCTTTAACTCCTAAATTTCTGAGAACTAAATTATCTCTTTAAGGATTGATGATCTATTTCTCCACGATAACTATCATATAGCAACAGATCCCTACCAAACTATGACATCATGCTAGATTTCCACGAAATAAAAGTTATAGACTTATTTCTCCATGAATTGATAATTTGGAACTTAATTACCCATAAACCAATGATTTTAATTGGTTTACTTGTTTTAATTGGTTTACTTTTAACCAAATAATTTATATCAATTAAACCAAACAAAGTTTAATTTTTAAATATATATTTTCTTTTAAAAAAGTTATTATCTTTTTCACAAACATTTATTCTCTTTCTTCACCATTGTCAGTATAGTGAATCCTTGATAAATTCTATATAGTGAAGTCTTAAATGGCTCCTCGATGGGTTGAGCCTGAGCAAGCCAATCGCTTAGTGACACCATCATGTGTCGCTCAGGTTTGGTAGTGGCGGAGATGGTGTCATAGTTTTGAAAGTGTGCTCGAGTGGTGTCGTCCATTGGAGGTGAATTCGAGCTTAGATTGAGGATAAACAACACTGACCTGTCTGGCAATGGTGAAGAAAGAAATGTTTGGGCAGATATTCTTTTATGAAGGAGATGATAATTTGATTTGGAAGAAGAAAGGCATGTGAAGAAGATAGAATTTTTATTTTTTAAAAGTAAAAAATATATATATATATATATATATATTTATAAGTGAATTTTTGTTTGGTTTAACTGATTTAAAACTATTAGGCTAAGAGTAAACCGATTAAAACAAGTAAACCAATTAAAATCATTGATCTATGGATAATTATGTTCCAAGCTATCAGTTCGGAGAGAAATAAGTCTACCACGTTTAGTTCGTGGAGATCTAGCACGAGGTCATAGTTTGGTGGAGATTTGATGCTATATAATTATTATCGTGTGGAAATTGATCGTCGACCCTCTCTTAAAGTAATACATGTTTTAGATTTCTTACATATATCAATAAAACATATTAAATCTTAATTATAATTTTTTTCAGGAAACTCTTGGTCGATCAAGAAGACACCTAGTTAGGGACAAGTTTGTATCCATGATATGATCATTCTTTACTTGATGTTGACATGTTCTTAAGATCTTTCTCCAGTCTTATTTCTTGAGTTAGCTTTAACTGATAAAATGGTACTTTCCCTTTGTGATCGCATTGTTGTCCGATGGATTTACATATACATTTATTAAATTACGTACTTTTAAAGTTTTGACTATTGCAGATTGTGTATTTCAGCACCTTCAAATTCTCTCAGCTGAAGAAGTGTAAGATATTCCCGACTAACTCACTGGATGGATTCACTTGTGTCTTTCCTCCACAATACTCCAAAACTAAAATAATTGATTATGTACGTGTTCTCCTCACTAAAATTTTAACCCAAGTTAAGATGCATTTTAATGCATACTAATAGCAATTGTTGCCAGAGAACAAACAAAGAACCCCCGATTGCCTCTATGTGGTGGAGCCAATCTATCAGTGTTCCCGAATGCTTATCATCAAGTCTGGAAAAGTTTGAATTGATAGGCTATGGAGGAAGAGAAGAAGAGCAAGAATTGGTAGAATACATCTTAACCACCTCTATATGTTTAAAGACGGCTACAATCTCTTTGTCCACTTTAATACTTGAAGACGAAGACATAACAATGAAGGAGTTGAAAGCTATTCCTAGGGTTTCAGTAACATCTCAGCTCTTTTTCAAAACTTTACATGGATAATATGTAAACAACATCCGGTTTTTTTTTTGGGTTTTGCATTTTTCCCTTATCTCAACATTTATTTATAGTTTATCATAATCAATGTACTAAATACATAATCTTATTTTCTATATTGTAGTTCCTAGAACAATAAATACGACTTGCTTAGTTAAGTTCCATCAGATTTTAGAAACAAGGGGTCCTCTAGTGTGTGACAAAAGAAAAGTTAAATACGCTAAACACCAGAGGACTGTTTGGAGTGTCTTTGGGTTTAATTCACTCCTGAAGAAAGTTCTTATGTGCTTTGAAGAGATTTTTCATAGAACAGAACAATCCACGGTATATATTTTTTTGGTTAAAATCCACGGTATATCTTATCATAGAACAGAACAAAATTTACAGCAACAACCCATGAATATCTCATCTTTCATTTTTTTTTTTTGACGACAACCCATGAATATCGATCGTATGAACAGAACAATCCACTGATATATTTAAATTTATTAAATTTAAGGCCCATTTACCAACTTTTGGGCCTTTCGAATTTGACGTTTCTGCATCTAGTTTTTTTTTTTAACAACATTTTTCTGCATCTAGTTTATCCCTCCTTCCTCGATAGCTTTGTTATTTCTTCTTTTGATTTTGTAATAAAATATCACACATTATCTGGATACATAGAATTTTGTAATACACAACAGTCGACACTTTGTTAGGGAACATAAATAATTTAGACAAATGATACGCACGAGCTCTAATGAAAGATGCGTAATGGTAGATGATGAATATCTATGATATCAATTATTTACAACAAGAAACTAATAATGACAATAATATTTATAAGTATTAATGGGATCACGTATTGATCCAAAAGAAACAAAACTATAAAACACTAACTGTAATAACTTCCTAAAAAACCTAGAATCACAATTACACTATGCCCAAAGCCACACAACTTAAATGTATGATAATTTGATAAATCTACATATACTATATATATGTATATTTCACGAATATATATGTAAAAACCTTTGTGTAGCTATACGTTTTCAATGGAAAGCAAGGAGGTTCTCGGTCTCAAAACTCAAGCCACCACATTCCATGTGAAGATCAGAGACCATACCACCATCGAATGATGACCCCATACATGTCTTGTCGTGATCAAAACTCGTGATGTCTGATGACAACAGTGTCTTCTCATAGTTCTGATCATGATGATCAGCAGCGATGTTGACACTCTTGTTTTTGTCGGCGTAGAGCAAATTTAGTAAGGACTCGTGATCAGGACCATGGCTCGACGATGACGACATCGACCCAATCATCATCTGCTCCCAACCACATGCTATGGATTGATGTTGACAATGGTGATGATAGGGATTCTCGGTGATCCTTGTAGGCTGTTTCATTAGCTGCTCCCACTGATCATGATTATGTGGAGGGTCGATGGTGGTGGAAGGAGGGGATGATAGTAAGGGCTGCAATTGATTGTTGTAATTAGGAGCGTCATTAACCTCAAACCTTTGCGTCTTATGATCGTTGTTATAGTTACTGTCTTGTAGGGACAGGTTTTTGCCTTTGTTGAACACTCTGCACAAGACCCAGTCTTCCTGTGTCCACATACCACGAGAAAACGAGAGGACATTGTTTAGAAACATTTTTTTTTTCCATTGTTTAGAAACAAATGCGTAGGATGTTTACGTAACGCCGCAATCTCGTGCATGCAAATAACCAAACACGCATTAAAGCGACTTTTGTCTCTTTCTTACACATTTTTTTTGTTTTATGTGCACAAGTTCGTCATTCTTTCTACATACTACCATGCCATGCAAAACCCACGCACACATACAAGACTCCTAGATAAATTAAACAACGAGGAATATCTACAAATACATAATCTCATATCGAAAATGAGAAGAAACCGAATCTTAAAATAGATCTGGATTAAATTATTTGTAATTATATTAAATTATTTATTTATAATTAATTTTAAGTTTGAAAGAGATTTAATCATTGTAAGAGATGGTGTTAGCTAGCATTCAACAAAATTTAAACGGATATAAACTTCCTAGATGAATAAACCAAAAGCCATCCTCTTGAATGAAGTGTGTAAAATTGCACATTAGTCTAGACTAATCTTAAAAAAAAAAAAAATTAATGTTTCAAAAAGGGTGGAATTAACATATACTGTAGTATATAATGAGCTGATTCACTTTTAAAAAAAAAACTTTATTCACTTATTTCTGACCACATGTTGTATATCATGACCGAATCCCATAGATTAGTCTAGACTAATGTTTTTGAGGTACATAAATATTATATTGTGGAAATAAAAAATTGTATCTCCTTTCCCAAATTAGTTTTGGCATGAAAACGAATACGCTGGTACAGTTAGTTTGGTATCTATATTTGTGTATGGGACATCCACGAATAGACAGATGTCGTGAGTTTAGTTACGTTACAAGTTATGCTTAATAAGACGTAATTATTGTGAAATGATCATTACTAATAATGGTTAGTAGTATGAAAGAGAGAAGAAATATTATTGTTGGGGAATAATTAATCAAGTACCTTAGGTGGCATGTTTGGACATTCAAGACGGAACTCATGCATGATCCAAGTAGTTTTGATTCCATTTGGTGCTCTATTCCTGTAGAAGACCAGTGTTTTTCTCATCCCTACCAATTGGCTTGTTCGTGGATCCATCACCGTCCGATCTTTCCCTGTTGCTTTCCAATATCCACTTACCGTCGCTCTGTTTGTGCGATATCCAGTGGCATATTTTCTATCACGAAAACTGAAGAAGTACCACTCTTTTGCATTCAGCTTTGCCACTTCTTAAATTGCACAACATACAAGATTTTATAAATCATTAGTAAATTCTTATGACGGAGCTGTTGATATATATATATATATATATATATATATATATATATATATATATATATAAATCGAAAACTTTGTATGAAAAGAAAATCGTAGTCTGTATTATATACTATGTCGACACAAAAGATTGTCAGGTTATCACTATATGTTAAAGTTTATCGTTGTTTCTTTATTAACAAAATGCTTAAATGAATCTATTTATATCATTTCTAAATTGAAAAAGATGAAGGAGTATTTTTAATATTATTTAGCATTTTGATTTTTTTTTTTGGCATAACTATAAAACAGTGAATGGAATTACAATCATATCTACAACAGGTGAAATAATGATACCAAGATTATTAGGAGGTTTTTACTCTTGGATCCTTAGAAAACATATATGTATATGTATATATTATATATACGTATATAATTGCGGGGTTTTTAACGGAAAATAGAACCGAAAATTTCTTATTTAAAAAACTTTCGATTTTATTTTCCATAAAGAAACCCACAATTATATACGCATATATAATATATACATATTTATATATATATGTGTGTGTTTTCCAAGGACCAAGAGCAAGGATCTAATAATATTACTCTCAACACATCCAGAATAACCGACCATTATTAAAAACATAGAGAAAATATTTAAACTTTGGTCTCTTGATAATGAATATTTTCAAATCATTGGATCATGGTGAATTATTTGTTTGAATTGGAGTTATAAACAGTGATGTGTCAAAGGTCTGTCTGATGATATAATTAAATTGTGATTTAGACAAGACGGAGGATGTGAGACATTAAATTCAGTTTTGGAAACTATAATTATGATTTTGACTTCAACTGAGGAAATTATTGATCTCTCAAACATTCCTCCTATCAGTTTCGCATTAATTTAATCCTCGTAGAAGATGATCAAGAAGATGCCTGACTACTTCAAAAGATTCCTTTATTTTGCCTTAGTTGAGAAGACGAGTAATCAACAACCATATCCTAAACAGTATATATATTGGTTGTTTAATTATAATCTATATAGCATATATTCGACTAACTACATCAAGATCGTGCTGGTCATGAAAGTAATAAAGGTTTCTTGAGTCGCTTAAGGTTGCTTGTGATATGGGGCAAAAAAGGTCTACGTGTTTACACACAAAGCCTAATTTTTGTTTATTCATGCAGTGCATTTGAATAAATGTTATTTAATGCAACAATTTAACTAACTTTGAATTTAATAATCTACAAGTTATCTTCTTTTAACAAAGTCCCTAAAAGTCAAAACTACGAAGACAAACGAAAATTTTACAAGTTCAAATTTTTTTTTTAAAGCTGACAACAGAATTCCCGGTCCCCTTTTAAAAAGCATTTTTTAATTTCTCATGGTATCAAAAGAAAACCCACAAACAAATGAAAATCACCATAAGCATACAAACGCACACACACATTTATATAGTTATTTATTCAAATTTGTATTCTGATTTACGACGCTTTATAACGACCGCTATGGTTTTATGCACTTCGCTAATCTAATAAAAACAAATTAAAGAAAAATATTACCATGTGTGTCGACTAATTATGACACCCCGGATTATTTTTAAATTGTTATTAATGCTATTATGATCATGATTTATTAATCAATCTACAAATCCAGAACTTATGTGAACATATCATCCGTTTATGTATGTTTATTAAACATGTACGACAGGATCTGACCAATACACAAAAGTCATTGAATTGTAGTAAAAATAAACGATGCCAAGAATAAAATCTGATTTTAAGAATATGTTTTTCTCCTTAATGCTCAATTAGTTAATTAATTTCAAGAACCTTTTTCTGTAATGGAAAGCTTCAAGAATCTTAAAAAAAAAAGCTTCAAGAATCTTACGAAGCCATGAGTGGAAAGGACTCATATACATACATAAAATATATAAACAAATAAACTCATAACACACATAGTTAGCAATCACAAGTACATACATACAGTTAAAAGTCAGGATTATAAAATCAGTTATTACCAGGAAGTTGCCATGGCTCACAAATATGCAAGTCAATCTCCACAAGATCAGTAGCACCCTTCAAGGCTTCATCAACGTCATCATCCTCAACATCACCGTGGCCATATTTGGCCCTAACCTTGTTGCAAAGATAATGACAAACTAACTCTTCGTCGCTTGGATGAAACCGAAACCCCGGTGGCAATTTGGACCCAATATCTTTTAAACCCATTATGTGAGTAAATAAATAGTTTAATATGTATATTAAACAAAAAAATTAAAGGGAGAATAACACCAATAGTAAGCAGATGTTCAAAAGAAAAGCTTAATAGAGGAGGAAGGGGGAGAAGGAAAGGGAGGGGGTGCCTAGATACATATATAGGTTTAATTATGTATATATTTATAGATAGGGGAATTAACATATATGATATATGGAAATAAAATAATATATAACATGCATGTAGCTAAGGATGAAAGATGACAAGTTAGAGTTTCTTACAATATTGTAAGATTAATTGGGTCCATGCTTGTGTAATATATGCAGTTAGTTATGGTGGGAAGTTTCAGGAAAAACCAAAGTTACAAGATATCTTAGTTGTGAGGTGTCTCATGGGGCACTATTAGCCAATATTCTCTTTTGGTTTCATTGTTATCCACTTAGGGAAACAAGCCAAACTTTTCCCTTATTTCTTGTTCCAATAACCGATTTCATTGAGTAAATGTTTATGTAATTATTCAATAAAATCCTTATGCATATATCAATAGATAGATTAGTCTGTAGTTTTTGAAAAAAGACTTCATTATCTTTGATACCATATTTTAAGATTAGCATGATTTCAGCTTAGAGAATTTCATTCATAGAGTAATTAGGGAAGTCATAAGAAAATTAGTACGCTTTATTTGTGGTAACTAACCTGAAATATTTTTGCTGCCAACAGCCAGTATTAACCAAGTCTTCTTATGTTTATTGTAGTAAGGCATTTATACGTGGCCAGATATCTGCTGGGGGAAATATATAATATTATGCTTTAAGTTGTTGTAAAGATATTGTACTAATTAACTTTGTCCTTATGGTTATTATAATCCTTTAGCCTTACGGACCTAATTTTTGTCAAACATTTTTTCCTCCTGATGTGATATAAATTTAATACGAAAATATGTTAGCCAAGCATGATATAAAGTTGTAAACGGCCATGCAAGAGTATACATATATAACTCTTACTAAAAGGAAAATTAGTTATGGAATTTATTTTAAAGATTTCTTTGAACTCCGTGGTTGGTTGATCCAATACTGAATTTTTTTTCCCTTAGCTTCGGTTTAACACATTGTTAGATTAGACAAGGTACACTGATTATTTTGAGTAACTTGTTGACATTAATTTATCCGCAATTAATTTTTTTGTCATGTATGTGAATTTATTTCAAAGAAATGGCAAAGAGATTCAAGATAACCTTGAATCTTAAGCTGCTTAAGTGCGCAATTAATCTACACCTAAAATACTAATGTGGAAACAATGGATGGCCTGATGGGAGTAAGGGGTCCATTAATGATGAACATGAAACCGAAGACACACTAAAATTTGAACCAAACTCATTTGCTGATGTTTCGGAAAAATCTTGGATTTATCTCGGACACTCCCGCAATAATTGAAGTGGTGACAAAGCTCAGTTTTGTCGTCATGTTTCCTACGTTTCTCGAAATTATTGGGAAGCTGTATACACATAAATACACACACTGACACGCCTAAAGGCGGCACCACCATTTCGTTCTGGTCGATCAATTTACTGTAACACCTCAGAGAATAAACCCGTCTGAACTCTAAAGGTACAAGGCAATTTATACGGTGAAAACTAAACCACAAATAATAAGAGGTAAAAGATATTAAAAAAAATGACTGGAACTGCACTCTTAACTTTATTTTCAGGTGATTTGAATCATTTGTTTATAAAAACCAACTTGAGTGTGACTGGTTGTCACTTTAGAGTAAATTTTAAAGAAAAAAAAATATTTCTAATTATTCCAAAAATACCAACAAAAAGGTTTATTTGATGAATGACTATATTGGGAAAATATTAGATTTGTAGTATTAGAGTAGAGAGAAACATCAAACATGAAAGGATGTAAAGGTTAGTTGGTGATATATAGTTTTGTGGTTATATAATTAAATTTCCCTGGAAAAACATGTTTCTCTTTATTTCCTTTGGTGACTATTAAAATCTAGGGAAATGTAGATATGTGTTTACTATCACATACATAAGAGTAAACACATTTACGTCATTCTTGTGTTTTTCCTCCCTTCTTCACTTATTTATTTTTCTTTCATTCTACTATAACAAATCACACCCCTCATATTAAATCATATAAAAACAGTCATATTAGTATATGGCCTATCTGTGAGGTTTGTGTATATTCCTGATGGAGAAACCTATTAATGAGCTGGAAATTTAATAGTTATGTTCATGGTGGATCCTATATCACTGTCTCTAAAATAGCTGTATGTTTATCTATGGAACTTGTGCCAAAGGAAATAGTTATTGTGAGATATAAACATGGTGTAGCCGTGGAATGGCTGTCTCTCCCTGGATCTCTTGTAGGTGGGTAAAAGCTTTGATAATCCTTGCAAACAGAGAATCAAAGACTCAATCTGCTTCAAGGCTTATGGATTGATGTGGGACACAAGAGGGATGGCTCGACTCCTGATACTCCAAGGCTTCTGGTCTGGATATTACACACCAAATCAGAGAACCCAAGCTGGATATTACACACCAGCAAAGTCTCAGCTCGCCAAAGGCAAGAGAAGAGAGAAAAACAGTTTTCTGATAAAAAGATCGATTGATTTCTTAGTTTCAGCTGCATACAATAATAAAAGGAAAACGCCAAAGCTAACCTAATCCTAAACCAGAATGGTTTAGTTTAACTCTAATCCTAATCCAATTCGAAATTG